TTTTTTTTGTATTTTTATTTAAAGACAGGGTTTCACTGAGTTGCTTAGAGCCTCGCTAAGTTGCTGAGGCTGGCTTTGAATTTACAATCCTCTTGCCTTAGCCTCCAAGGCCACTGGGATTACAGGTGTATACCACCACACTCAGCTTGAAGCTCTTTTTAATCCTCAAATTTCACAGGCTGTTTAATACATGTCAAGGGAAGGAAAAATGAAAAAGATGGAGAGGGATAAAAAATGAAACAAAGTGCTGGGTGCCAGGTGTGGTGGTGCATACCTGTAATTCCAGCAACTCAGGAGGCTGAGGCAGAAGGATCACAAGTTTAAGACCAGCCTCAACAATTAATAAGGTCCTAAGCAATTTTGTGAGACATTGTCTCAAAATAAAAAATAAAAAGGGATGGGCTGGGTTCAATCCCCAGTACCCCCCACCCCGAGATGTACAAAATAATGTACAAAAATTATAAATAACTACCTCTGTAAAGTTATCACACACACACACACACACACACATACACACACACACACACACACAATGTGAATCACACAGAAAATATACATAGAAAAATCTAGGAGGAAATATACCAAAATATTGGCAAGCAGCATCCATTTCTATATGTGCTTTACAAATTCCCTACTATAGAAACCACTTTTAAAAGATAGGTTACAAAGGGCATGGATGGTTTGATCCCACTGTTTAAGACATTTGTGCATGTGAGGTGGATGGGTAGTGATGGTGTATGGATAGAAAAAGGTTTGGAAGAGTGTGTACACAATGCTAATAGAAATCAAATAGAATGATAGCTGAGTTTTTATCTTTTTTTTTTTAAACTTTTAAAAATAATTAGTTTGACCCTATATTCTAGAACAAAACAATATTACTTTCATAATGATAACAAAACAAACAAATTTTTGTGGTGCTGGGGATCAAACCCAGATCCTTGTTGATGCAGGGCAAGTGCTCTACCACTGAGATACAATGCCAGCCTACAGAACAAAATTTTTAACTGGGGAAGAAGAAATAGCAACAATATGGAAAGGTGAGGAACAAAGAGAGTATTTATCAATATAAATATCATCTTAAGCGTAACTTAAGATGATATTTATATTGATGAATACATTTCTTACATTTTGGGCCCTAACAACATCCCTAAAATTCTCATCAAATACAATATCTCCTAGATGAACCATTGAAGATCTGCAAATATCTGTCCCCCCAAAATATGCCTCCTCCCAACTTAAGTATCACTTTTTCCCCCCTTGCTAAGTTGCTCAAGCTGGTCTTAAGCTCTTGGGATCAAGTGATCCTCCTGCTTCACATTCCTGAGCATCTGGGACCACAGGTGCCCCCACCACACCTGGCTTCTGGCATCACTCTTGAGCTTGTTATCCCCATGAGCTGTGACTGCAGCAATTGTCTCTGAGTCCCACTTCTAAATCATGTGCTCAAATATTCCCACTCAGCAATTCTTTTCCTGAAGCCCTCGAGTCCACACACTCCCACTTTTTCCTTCTATTGCCTTTCCGTCCTCCTTGGTTCCTTCCTTGATGAACTTGGTTTTAATGATCCCACATTTCAACACACCCTTGCAAAGATTTGGAACTTCCTTGCCTCTTTCTCCTGGTAAATCCCAATGCTGGTTACAATAAACCATGGGCATACACTACGCCCACTTGCATTAAAGCAGCTGAAGATGGTTGGGGAAAGTAATAGCATTGTTCTCACCAGTCCAACTCTACTGGGATGACATAAACATCAAGTGTGATAGCAACACTGATGAGCAATCTTTCCATACTTCCTTGGTAGATTCATTGTCCCACTCTTTGAGATGACAATTTCATCCTTTCTCTCCAGGCAGTCTTTCATAACCCATCTCTTTGTGTTGACCTTGCCTCTTATTTTCCTAAGAAAGCTGAATCATTTGGAAACTCCCTAATTTTCCTCCCACCACCTTCCCCACCCTTGTCTTCATTCTTACTCTTCCCATATTTTACCATGGAAGAAGGGCCCCTGCCCAAAGATTGGCCGCTCACTCAATACCTCATTATCACTCTCCTGGTAGAATTTAATCCCACACTCAGATCCTCCCCCAGAGCCTCAATTCTCCCTCTGTCATATGCTCCCTATAAAATCAGGAGCATCTCTAGCATCTCCCTGTCTAACAAAAAAAAAAAACTTCCCCCAACAATTTTTAAAAAAAAGCAACCCAAGGAATGGCAAAACTCAAGCCAAGAAAGAAACAACTGGGAAGGTTTGTTAAAATACACATCAGTGGGCTCCACCCTAGAGTTTTTGGTCCCATCAGGTCTTAGGGCTGGAGGATTTTTATTTCTAACAGGTTCCCCTGTGATGTTGCTGAAGCCCCACTTTGGGACCTACTCATCTATACTGATTGTCTCTCCTTTACCCACTTCTGCCTTTTTGGAAGACTAGAAGTGACTTTCATGAACTCAAATCCAGTGGTCCCTTCCTCCTCATCCCCTTGCTTAGGCTTCTTGGAAGTATTTGATGCAGATGGACATGCCTGCTCAAAACACTCCTCTTGGTTTCTCTAATACCATGCTCTCCTTGTTTCCCTCCCACTTCAGTGACCTCTTCTTCTAGGTCTTCTTTGCTGGCTTCTCTTTCTCAGGAAGACCCTTAAATATGCCCCAGAGCTCCACTGGGACTCTCTCTTTTTCCAGATACATTGTTTCCCTAGGCAGGTTCATCTGTTTCTATGGCTTAAATTCAGTCTCTCAGTTGAGGACTCCCAAATCTGTCTCTAGCTCTAACCGATCTGAGTTGCAGTTTCTTGTATTTAACTGCCTCTTGATATCTTCATGTTGATATCTTCATGTGGATATGTGTACACAACCGTGCCTGGTTTTTATACAGTTCATAGAAGAGTAGTGGATATACGATAAATCAGATAAATTTTGACTTGTGTATACCTGCCCTGTGATATCATAAAATAGTCAAGGAGATGAACATGTTCATCAACCCAAAATTTCCTTACCAACTTACAGTTTCTCTCCTGCTTCTCCTCACCCCAACCTGAGGCCACTACTGATATACTTTTTCTTTACTAAATATTAATTTACAACTTTTAGAATATTCTATAAATGGAATCATGCAGTATTTGTATATATTTTTGGTCTAACTTCGTTCAGTGAGAATAATTTATTTTAGGTTCATTCACTTAATGCAATCAGTGGCTTATTCCTTTTCACTCCTGGGAATTATTACTTTTCATGGATATACCATAATCATAGACAATGACAGATTATGTGGGTAACTTCATAATCTATTAACAAATAGACACATTCATTTATCTCTTGATATAAATTTGAGTTCTTTTTTGTTTCTGGCTTTTAGAATTAAAGTTGCTGTAAACATATGATTTCATTTCTCTTGGATAAATATCTAAGAGTGAAAAGACTGGGTCACATGATAAGTGTGTGCTTAACTTTTTAAAAAAATAGCTAAACTATCTCCCAGAGTAACTACTTACTTATGCCATTTAACATTTCCAATAGGAGTATATGAGAACTCCAGTTGCCCAATGCTCCAGTACTTGATCTGGTCAGCTGTCTTAATTTTAACTATTCAAATGAACGTGTAGTGGTATCTTGTTGCATTGTGGGGTAGGTATTGGGGATTAAACTCAGGGGACCTTTACCACTGAGCTACATCTCCAGTCATTTTTGTTTTTAATTTTGGGACAAGGTTTTGCTAAGTGACATAGAACCTCACTAAATTGCTGAGGCTGATCTTGAACTTGCAAGCCTTCTGATTCAGCCTCCTGAGACATTTGGGATTACAGGCATGTGCCACCATGCCTGGCCTATCTCATTGTATTTTTAATTTTCAGTTTCCTAATGACTCATGATGCTGAGCATTTTTTCATGTACTTATTTACCATTCACTTACCTTGGTGAAATTTCTGTTCAAATATTTTACATATTCGAAAAACAATGTTTATTTTCTTCTGTCTGTGACTAATGTTTTCCTTTTCTGAATGGTTTCATTTGAAGAGTAGAAGTTCTTAATTTTGATGAAATCAAATTTATCATTTTTAATTTTATAAATCATGCCTTTGGTATCATATCTAAAAACTCTTTACTTAACCATAGGTCATAAAGATTTCCCCCCTATGCTTTGTAGGACTTGATTTATAGTTTTAAATTTGACAGTTAGGTATGTGACCCATTTGATTTATTTATTTTTTAGTAGACTATGAGGCATGGGTTGAAGTTAAATTTTTTTAACATATGGATATCTAAGTTTTCCAACACCATTCCTTATAAAGACTGCTCTCTCCACAGTGATTTCTTTTTTTTTTTTTAATTTTTTTTTATTGGTTGTTCACAACATTACAAAGCTCTTGACATATCATATTTCATACATTAGATTGAAGTTCTCTACAGTGATTTCATTAGCATATTTGTTGAAGTCATTTGACTCCATGCATGGAGGTCCACATTTGGATTCTGTACTTGAACTTGGTGTCAATGAAAACGTTAGGCATCAGTAAGTTAGAAGCATCTAAACTTCCACCTCTCTCATCTTGTTCCAAGCAGTATTGGAAGCAGTTTGAAGTAGTTATTTACTCTTGGTCCACAAAGGACTAAAATGCATTACTCATTACATTATTTTATTTCAAATGATTCAATCTATGCACTGAATTCAAAAATCTGATCTATATGCTGTGTCATTGAGGTAGGGAGAAAACTAAATTTTGGCCCTGTATTGAATTGTATTTTAATTATGTCTGTCCTCTTACAATGAGAACTCTCCTTTGAGTCGGACTATTTTTTAAAATATATGTAGCTTTCCCCTGTCTTTGGGCTGAGAATTCCAAATTTGTAAATAACTACTGTGCCCAGCTCCTTGCCCTCTTTCTCCACTCTACTGTTTAGTCTTCATGAACTAAAGGGTTGAGCTTCAGTGTTAAGGGGTGAAACATAAAGTTTTATCTTTTTTGGGGGGGGTACCAGGGATTGAACCCAGGACACTTGGCCACTGAGCCTCTTCCCCAGCCCTATTTTGTATTTTATTTAGGGACAGGGTCTCACTGAGTTGCTTAGTGCCTCGCCATTGCTGAGGCTGGCTTCGAACTCACAATTCTCCTGTCTCAGCCGCTGGGATTACAGATGCGCTACCATGCCCAGCTAAACATAAAGTTTTAATGGACTGTTTAAAGGCAGGATTTGAATCAAAGGTGACAACTCCTAGTGAGTTTTCTTGGCTGAGCCCTTTGTGCTTCTAAGTGGTATTTAACAGTACCTGGTAAAACCTGTAAGTAAACTAATACAAGTATTTTTGGCTATGCAGAGGCAGGCATAGAAGTGCTCTCTCAGCTGTCTCAACTAACTGGCACATTCTTTACTGCTCCCACTGGGATTGCAACTGGCTCTTACCAACACAGTAAGTGCTTATGACTGGTGACTATGTCCAACAACATGCACTAACTCCAGGATCACTAGAAGACAAGAACACTTGATAATCATGCCATGGCCAATGTCAACATCTGCATTTCATCCCTTCTCTAAAGGAATGCTATCATTTCCCAAATGATGTAATTTCATATCACTGAGTCTTTTGTTTAGAGGGGATTATTTATTACAAATATTTTCCTTCAAGAAATCATTTACAAAACCTTGGTTGAAATTATCACCAGCAGGAGTTAAGCAAGATGTATAGCTGCTGATCTAGAAAAACAATAAGTACAAATAATAGTTTCTTTTGGTAAAATGTAATCAGAATGTGTTTCTTTGGAAAAACAAAACTGTAGCTATAAGGAGGTGTTAACAGAGTCCCATTTAGATCCCATTTCATTATCTGAGAAGAGAAACAAAGAGAAAATATACTAGAAAGCAAACTTTCATCTAGATTCTAAAGCTTCAAACATTAGATCAAAATGTAATATTGGCTGAACAACAAGAGAACAAAATTGCTTTGCTACAGTAACATGAGTCATTTTTCCCTTTAAAACTCCCTTGCTTTCTATTAACAGGGGATGATGGAGAAACTATATAGAGCTTTACTTCTCTATTCCCCAAATGCCAGGGGCCATTCAAGACTAGGAAAGTTGGCATGATTGGGAAACTTGTAAGGGAAAGGACTCTGTGCGGAGGTAACAAAAAGCACATTGTTTTATAGTTTTGAAGCAGAAATTACTTGTTAATTTTAGTTCACATAACAACACCACCCTATGACAGCCCCGTGGCGAGAGGAATCGGCCTAGCTGGGCAGAGCAGGGCATGGGCACTGTCATTTACAGTGTGGAATAGGCTTTCTTCTTTTCCTCCTCCTCTGCCTCTCCTTCCTCTGGTTTCTCCTCTTTTCCCCTCTCTTTTTCTCATTCTCCTTATAAAAGAACCTATTATAAAAAATTTCACATCTATCATTGAAATTTTGGGAAACAACCCAAGTAAGATTAGCTCTCCATTAAGGACAGAAAAGGCAGATTTATCATACCCTGCATCTTCTAGTCTTGCTTTTTAAGAAAAATTTTTCTTTTTTAAAATATCTTTTAGTTGTAAATGGACACAATATCTTTATTTATTTATTTATTTTTATGTGGTGTTGAGGATTGAATCCAGTGCCTCACACATGAGACACAAGAGCTCTACCACTGAACTACAACCCCAGTCCTCAAGGAAACCTTTTAAAGCACCACTGGAGATATTTGCAGAAAGAGATAGCAGTTTGTCCTAATTTAAGAAAGATACAGGGTTGGCTTTGTGATGGGGAATGGAAAATGATGAATGGAATTTTCTAGTATTTTCACTTTTAAGATGAATAGATAAAGCAATTCATTCTTGCTAAGCTGACTGCTCTGTTTCCCAATGCACATGCAGTAGCTATTTAATTTTTGATTTCAAGTAGAATATATCAACCTTTCTATGATGAATAGACAGGCATTTAAAATGATTCTTTATGTCCTTTTGAGTTTTGAATCTTACTCTTAACATCTTGGTCTTCTAATGGGGAAGGATATAAACCTAGTACAATTGGGGCTTTGTTATACTTTAAACAAGAAGTAGAATCTTTTCATCTGAGCTCAACTCCACAATAATAAAAGGAAAAAATAATGTTAGTTCTTAGTGACTGGCTGGGACCTCAGCAGGCTGGGCCTCCTCCTTCCATCTACTTCAATGAAGCCAAGCTACAGATGTGGTCCAACCTCACAGACTTCCTGGAAGATGCCTTGAAATCAGTGAGGAGAGAGTTAAGACCTCTCTTCAAGGAGCTGCAGAAGGGCATCAATGGCAGGATGATAGGTAAGTACGCTAGCAGCTTCTAACGCAGGTCCATGATGAAGTTCATTAGGAATGGTACAAGCAAAATTTAATTCTTGAACATCTTCAGTAAAACATTTATCCCCTTTAAATAATGAATACCTACTAAGAAAAAAATATATATCCATGGTTCCTGTTTTTAAAATATACCATCTTATTAATTCCTGTGTCTGTCAATTTGGCCTAGACCAAATCTGCTGTTTGCTGAGCCAGACCAAACAGTTTACTCTAAAAGTTAACACCTGGCACTTAACATCCTAGTTAAGTCGATTTTACATTACTGCATCTATTATATTAATTGTTCTAAAGTTTAAGGTCTATTTCCTATCTATCTAAATGATATAATTTGGTGATAGCTCCAATTTGCAGAGCTTAGTGGACATCTCTGAACTATTTTCCCATTCAGACTCCATTCCTATGATCAAAATATCACAATCATCCTTGGGGAACAACTTAGTGTGTCAGCTTTGAATCTTCAACTACATCAGTCCATCCTTTAAAATGAACTCTTTTTCATCATCTAGATAAATCCCCCTCTGCCTCATTTATAACCTCTTTCAATTTTTCCCAGTACTTTCCATCTGATTAAATCCCTGTATCACTGGAGTCATTATGGCTGTATTCCTTTCTTCCCTTTCCTCCCCCGATTAAATGTCTATTTACATAGCTACTGTCTGCACAAGAGCAGTAACACCTGTGCACACAGGTATTTTATCCATCAATAAACGTTCTGCATCTCTTTGTAAATGCCTCCCATTAACACAGGGCTTTTCCTCTTATTTTCTTGTACTTTGGGAGGTGTCCAGCAATGTTTTTAAGTACTTATGAAATTAATCACAGGAAGGAATTATTTCCCCTGGTTCTTTCACACATATAAATACCAGACAGAAAAATGGAAAGATAGACTTTTTATGTGTGTGTGGTGCTGGGGATTGAACCCAGGGCCTTGTGCATGTGAGGCAAGCACCCTACCAACTGAGCTATAACCCCAGCCCAAAAGGTAGATTTTTAAAGATAGAATTTTTTTAAAAAAGGTTGAACCCACCCAGCGGTGCTTAACCATTGAACCACATCTCCAGCCCTTTTTATATTTTATTTTGAGATAGGATCTCGATAAGTTGCTGAGGCTGGCTTTGAACTTCTAATCCTCCTGCCTCAGCCTCCTGAGTTGCTGGGACTATAGAAGTATGTTTTTGATGATATATGTAGGCAGTGATAAGCCAATGAAAAAAACTTGTTTTCAAATAAAAGTAAGTTGTTCAAATACAAAAAAATTAAAATATGTATTTAAATATAAATTAAATATAAATTAAAATTTAAAATATATATTTTTCCTATGGACTTATAAAAATTTTTACTTCTATTTAAAATATATATTTTTCCTATGGACTTATAAAAATTTTTACTTCTATTCTTTGCATTTTTCTTTGTCCACTAAAGAGCAGCAGTGAGGACTGAGTTGTTTCCTTTTTGTTTGCATATCTTACATAAATTAATTATAGGACATGTGACCTTGTATTTACAGGGCAATTTATGTTTGACTCCATGAGTATGACAAGCATTCTGAATAACCAAGACATTGCACAAGCTCTAGCAGATGGTCTGATGGAGCTGTCAAAAGAAAATTCTGTAAGTGTTTCACTGAAGAAAGCAAACCAGAAAAACCCCAATACTTAAATTCTTAGCTTGCACTTATCATTTTTAAACCATAATTTCTTAGAGAAATTACATCAGTTTATAAAATTAGCCATGGAGAGATTCTAGGCCTGACATGTATTAGGTACACAAAACAGACAAACTAGAACATATTCTGGATACTTAAAATATACTGTGCACTATTTTGTCTTGTGCTTAATTTCAGTGAGAAGTGACTTCTTTAAGAGAGATGTTAATTTTATACAACACAATATATATTTCACATAGTGAAAACAATCATCAGTATAAGGGAATAATGTGTGAAACCAGACATAGAAAGGTGAAGGACGAGGGGGGTTAGATGAGGGGATGGGAAAGAAAACACAAAGGAATAGAAATAAACAAATCAGCAATTTGGTTGGTGGCAGGTCTGCAGAGCCCAAAGAAGTATTCTTATTAAAACCAAATCTTGGATGCTGTGGCAGGAAAGTCAGTCCACATTTCAGAAGACAATGAGGAGAAGTTAGACAGGAGGTTCCCTCTTTCTCCCCTCAAGATGATGGTGAGGTTCAGGGAAAATGAAATGTGCTACTGGCTGTTTGGAGGCCACTGGAAATAAGAATGATTTTGACTCTACACTAAGATCTTCAGTTTCCAAAAGAAGGTTCTCCAGTCTTCTTCCATTGTGGTCACGCTAGTTTGTGGGTGAATTGCACATTGTCTTTGCACACATTCTGTCTCCATGTTACTGGGCATCTCCTCTGATTTCTAGATGGCTTCCTGGATCAGCACCAGACTTATGCATTATGCAGGCTTAGCTGTACTGCGTGGAGTTGCAGTTAGCTGTGATTTGTTTTCTCTGAAGGCTTAGCTTCGCAGTACTTAAGTCAAGGTGCACCAGCCCAGTGAGTTAAGACCCTGGTGAGCTCTGTTGCTAAAATGAGCAGGGATGTTCACAGAGCTGACCCTGGAGGCCTGGAAAGATACTGCACTTTCTCTCAAACACCAAAGAATTGCTAAACATGTTTGGTGTAGGTTCAGAAAACTTATTGCCACTAATTACTTAAAAAAGAATTATGTATGATATAATTTTGAGGGTGCGAAAGCCCATAGTGTGAGAGCGGAGCCTCAGGGTGTGTTTCCTAGCCCCCTGCCGCTGCTGCCTCTCTCTCAGGCCAACCTCCTTCCCTGAGAGACAGCAGGATCCCTCCTGCTCCCTGTCCTCTTTTGGCCAAGGGGTTGGTGTGGACGACTTTGGGTCTGAAGATCTTGAAAGACTATTGCATAAGACGTTGACCTGCTAATCACATTGTGACAAAAAGCCAAAAACAAGGAGCATATATTATAGCTGGAATGAAATTAATTAGAAAGTCCCATTTGCCCACTATAAGAGTTATTTTTTTCTGGATATATACATTAATTAGGTAGAAATCTGAAAACTTGGCTAAAAGTGTTCTCTTTTCTGCTATACCCTTGATTACCCATATTTCAGATGAATGCTTTAAATTGTATTTTTTTTGGGGGGGGGCATTTTTCAGGACAGGCCTCTGGAATTTTTGGCATGTTTTCTGCTGAAGAAATGTAGTAAAAAGAGCAAAGATGAAGGAAATGTTCTTCTGACAAAATGTGACCTCAAAGAAACACTTGATTTGTTCACAAAGGTAAAGTTGCATCTTGATGCCATTGTTTACTGTAGTTTTAGGCACATGAGGGGAGGAAATTAGTAAGTAATAATGCTAGCTTTTCCTGGAAAACTTTCAACTTGTCATGTCTCCTCAGAACTTCATTTTTCATGGACTGTTTTTTAAAAAAGGCATTTTGTTGTTCTGTAGCATGAGTAACATTTAAGCCATTTCAACTGCTTGAGTAACAATACTTGGTTGTGGGAGAAAAGTACAATAAAAAAATTGGAAATTTGCATTTTTATCTTATTGCTTATTCTGTTGTTGGGTCCTAAGATAACTTGATTTTTTTTTCATTTAAACTTTTGTTTTTTTGGGGGGGAGCCAGAGAATTTTTTTTCTTAGGTTGAGATTCATATTTATAAAAGAAAAAAAAATTAGGTTTAAAGCTAGCTCTTGAGGAAAAAAAAATACATTTGGCAGTACTGAGCTCAAAATCCACACATTCTTTGTTACATGAAATAATCAGGATTCGGGAAACACTGAGAATCATATTGTCATTCACAGAGCTGATTTCTAGATAGGGGAAAAGGTTATATTAGAACCGTTTTTATGTTCAAAGAAAAGTCACCCATCTTTGGTATCTGAAGGCCTAAGTCCCACAACACAAACTTGCCATTTAGACTGTTAGTAGGAATAGATGTGAGGATTTCCCTAGTAGGTGAATCATCTGTTGCTTTATTAACCCAATATTCTGAAAGTATTTGTCAGTGCTTTGTTCAAGGATAGCTTAGTGCCAGCAGACATGGAGGATTGCAGGGAAGTGTCCCCTCTTGCTAAGGTGCCTTGGACTGACTTAGCAAAACAAAAGATTTCAATTATTAAAACCCACCCAATTGAGATTGAGTCACCTCTGTTCCCCACCAAATTCCTTATTCTTCCCAAACCCAATCATCTCCCTGAGAGGAGTCATAAATAAACATATTGCAGGATCTCTAAACTCTTGTTAGGATGGACCTCTGCTGGCCCACTGCCCAGGCTAAGTATGTTTTTTTTCAGGAAATACTCCTAGACCACTTCTTAGGCAGAGAACAACTCCCTTCTTTTCAGTTCAGTTTCCTAATAATTACAGCAGCTATCCATTTGCTGGGTGCTATGCTAGATTCTGGGAATAGAGAGCTCAATGAGACACAGTCTCTGTGAGTGGCTGACAGCAGCATAGCAGATGGTAAGTGGTGGTGGTTAACAGAATGTGCAGGCTGGGAGACACACCAGGGCGGACCATTCATGCACACCCCCTTTTCCACTTCTCAGAGGCTGCTGCTTTTGCCTTGTCAGGGCAGCCACCTCTCTGAGATTTGGGTGTGTGTTTAGTCTGTATCTATCTTTCAGCCTGGGAAAGCCATTTAAAAATAATCCTACTCATTTTGCCTCCGTTCACATGATCCACATGTGACTGTATCACACAGGTTTCAAATTCTCTCAAAGTCCTTATGAGACTTGGGTGATCCTGACTCCCTGGAAACTTTATTGGAGTTTCTTGTACCCGATACCAACCCAATAATACCTGCCTATGAAGCAGGCAAACTTGAAGAAAGCAGTAGGGACGAATCTGTACATGCTTCCTCCTCTGAAGTGTCACTTTTACATGTTAAAGACCTAACTACTGGGAGAACTACTTGTGGAATCTCTACACCTACAGCAATGGTCACCAGAACAATTCCTTTCAAAGATGCTTTCCTCTTTGATCTTTCTTAAATTTCTTCTGCCAAATAAAATCCACACTGGAGTCAAGTCTTGTCAACCTACTGTTGACTGAAACATCTAGTCATGTTAATAAAATAATGCATGAAGTGTGGGCTTAGAGCTGTCTGTTGCTGGAAATCAGGTTACTCTCCTTATGTCATCTGCCTGTAATAAAACTGCACCAAAAAGGATCACCCTGACACTTGAGAATCTCTTTAATAGCTTTTCTTTTTTTTTAATGTCAAGTTAGAAATAATATGTGTTAGATTCTCATTTTGTTTTTATTATTTAACATTTAATATGTTGTTCAAAGGTTTATGAAATAAACTTGGGCACTCTTTAGAGGGAAAAAAAACCAATTTAAACATAAGTGCTGTCTTAGGTTAAAATAGAGAATCTGACTTTCTTTACATCTTGGGGTGTGTTTTTAAACCTGGCTCTTTTTACCAAAGAGCACCCAAACTTTCAGCCATAGGAGTAGAAATAGTAGCTTCTCTAAGATGATTGTTTGTTCAAGAACCTCTCCTAAGTCCTCTGTAACAGGGCTGTTTGTCAAATTCAGGACTCCATATGTCTTTTTCTTTCCCTCCTTTCTTTATTCCCTCTCTATCTACCTATCATCTTCCTAGTTCACCTATCTATTTTGTTACCAATCTATTATCTATCTATCCATCTCTCTATCTATATATCCACCTATCCATCCATCTATCCATTGTCATCTTGATGTCCAATCAGCAGTTACTTCTGGTTCTTGTGGGCCTGTGGTGTTTACCCTAAACGATGCAACCTTGGTGATGGTCATGCAGCCAGAATCATAGTTATTCCTGAACTCTACCTGTCATTTCCACAACTATTTCTGGTCCCTGGTGCAGGCAGCAGAGTGTCTTCTTGGAAAAGCATTAGCCAAGTCTAGAATGACTGGAAAACACACTGCCTGCTTGCACTCTATCCTAGAGGAAAATTACTGTTATATGATGGAGGCCCAGCCCTGTGAGCTTATTTCTTATGGTAGTCCTATAGGTCCTGGAGAGAGCCAAGGAAAAGGCCCACCAACACAAAATAATGACTTTCTTATATATTTGCAAAGTTGGTTGCCTATGCTACTGCCTCTGATTTCATCCCTAAAAAACAAAATAAGGGGTAGCATATTCATTTTAAAAATAGACTCTAAAATTCCTAATAATTATAACTTAAAATATAAAATGAGAGAAGTTGTTATTTTTGGTTTAAACAAAATTACCACACCAAATCATTTCCCTATCCTCAAAGAACAATTTATATTTAAAGAAAAATAGCTGCTGCTGAGCCAGAAGTGGAACAAAGCCTCACTGTGCACACAGGGTGGTGGCGGGGGCATAATCCCCCAGTGAAAGCGTAAATACATACCAGACTGGCACAGGTCACCACACATGGGGAGGACAAAGGAAATGACTGAAAGACTCTCTGAGTAGACAAGTGCCAGGTTCAGGTGGCATATCATGCAAAATAAGAAGAGAGCTGGTGGCTGCAGTCCAGGGCCCAGGGTTCCCTCACAAAGAATTCAGGCTGCCATAAGGAACCCTGTAGCTATGAAATAAAAAATTCACTTTTGCCCGAGTAAGACAAAAGCAACTTGGGAACAAATTGATGTTTTTCTTGCCTGGACATTAGCAGAGTCAGCCCTGGTACGTTTATTTTTGACTAGGAAGGGCAACAATAATAACCATTTGTCATGATTATTTCTCAAATTAAATACAGGTCCACTGGTTTCTTAGCTAGAATGAGCCCTGGGATGCTGCAGGCATGTGGGGGAGGGTAAATTTAATGTGCTAATTTGTAAGGAGGTCACAAGAAGAACAATTGACAAGGAAAAGTGAAGAAAGAATTAAGCCATATTTAAATGTGGAAACGGACAAGTCTGGAAAGGGGATGCAAATTGTTTATGACACGTTTGCATTAGTTGAAAAAAAGGGTGAATTTTATAAAGTGTTGTGTTATTTTCCTTCTGGCATCTTAAAACTGAGCTAACCTACTTATCCCCTACTGTGAAGTGACAGCAGCACTGAAGCAGAAGCCTGTTGCCCAAGATATGTGCAATTCTCTGCGCCAGAAAGGAGCCCCTGAATTCAGGACAAAACACCCCCACTACTTTCTGGGGGAATGAGGTTCAATGACTTTAGTTTCCCAAGTAGAAAGTCATTGAAAGGAAGCTAAAGGGTATATGTTTTTTCAAACACAAATTTTAAATTAAGAGAGGCAATACATTTGTCAGGCTCTCACTAGGGAATTGTGGTTAGGGCAGAGAGCTTCCGAATGTCTCTTAGAGCAGAGTACTGCCTTTCCAGAGATCCCAAGGCTCACCTCCAAATAATCAAGTTCCATTTAATCTTCAGGAAAGAAACATTATAGAAGACAACTCTCAGGACACAGAATCAAGTCTCAACAAAAGTGATCTGGATTTTGAAGTGCTCCTTAAGCTGGTAAGTTAGTAATAACATAATGTGAATTTCCCATTTGTTTTACTCCTGACAGTGAAGCTTCCGTCTTTATTCTGATTAGTCCTCTGTTGTCCTTGAACATTTCACTTATGAAGTAAAGAAAAAAACACTAAGTATAATTGAGGGGAATCCAGCTGGTAAATTTTTCCTCCCCTTAATTAAGCCCTGCACTGAAAAGAAGTTGAGCCAAAAAGAGAAAGCAGAAGAATATCTTTAAAGAAAACCAATCTGTATGTGCCACCATGATTTTCCAATACTAGAGGTTCTTTTAGTCAGCTTTGCATCACTGTGACCAAAACACCTGACAAAAATAACTTAGAGGAGGAAAACTTCATTTTGGTTCACAGTCTCAGAAGTTCAGGTCCCTAGTTGGCCTACTCTATAGCTCTTGGTTGGCGGGTGAGGCAGAACATCATGGCAGAAGGTAATGGTAGAGGAAAGCAGCTCAGGACATGGCAACCAAAAGCAGAGATAAGACTCTACTCCTCAGGGACAAAATACTAATTCCAAAGGCATGCTCCCAGTGACCTCCAGCCACACCCTCCCTGCTTAAAGTTACCACCAGTTAATCAATCTACTGATTAGGTCAGAACTCTTATAATTCAATCATTTATCTCTGAACTGTGTGTGTGTGTGTGTGTGTGTATGTGTGTGTGTGTGTGGTGCCAGGGATTGAACCCAGGACCTTGTGCATGCAAGGCAAGCACTCTACCAGCTGAGCTATATCCCCAGTCCCACCTCTGAACATTCTTGCCTTGTCTCACACACAAACTTTTTGGGGATACCTCATATCCAAATCATAACAGATATCATTTAAAGAAACGGATAAATGGAAATACACAGTTTCTAACTGATCCACCAACTTGTGGTTTGACTTCATATGTTGACTGTAATCAATGTAATGTTTAGGGCTTTGTCCTTTGGGGTAAAACAGGCAGAGTACATAAAAGAAGTTGCATAAACTTAGAGGTCCTGTCCTGCTGGATATGTGGCATGTACATATCATTTTTATTCTTCAACACATGTACCCATTTGTTATCATATTTCATCCTCAAAATCCTGTAGAGTAAATGTTAATAGCCACATTTTTTAGAAATGAAAAACTAGAATTAGAAAAGTTAAATGAATTCCCTAAGGTCAGAAAACTGGGAAAAAACAAAAGAAGACTTGTGGAAAGAACATCTGACAACAGCTTTGAAATAGGTTTGGCAGTGACACTTTAAGCCACAATGATTGTAAATGTTTAATAATGCCAATATTTAAAATAATATACATATGTAAATATACATAAAAATATAACATAGGGTTGCAAACCAACTGCTGATTGAGATGCAGATGTATTTTTTAATTTATTAGATATGTCTAAATAGATGTTACACACAGACCATGTGTTTGAAACATAAAACTTAAGTAACCAAGAGTAGTGTTTTTTGTTTGTTTGATTTTTGGTTTTTTGGTATGGGGAATTGGACCCAGGGATGGTTAATCATTGAGACACATCCCTAGTCTTTTTATTTTTTAAATTTGTTCTTTTTAGATATACATGATAGTAGAATGTATTTTGGCATATTATACATACATGAACATAACTTATTCTAATTAGGATCCTATTCTTGTGGTTGTATCCCCAGACTTCAAAAAAAATTTTTTTTTCAACTTTGAGACAGAGTTTCACTAAGTTACTTACAGCCTTGCTAAGTTGCTGAGGCTGGTCTCAAACTTTTAATTCTCCTACCCCAACCTCTGGAGTCACTAGGATTACCTAACTACCATGCCCAGCAGAGCAGTGTTTTTATAGTATTTCAAAGAGAATGCGTTTTCTCATTTTGTTTAAAAAAAATTACTTTATATATTTTAGTTTTAGTTCTTAAAATTATGGTTGGCTCATCTTAGTGAAGACCACATAGCCTTATACTTCATATTGTCATATTTTGTTTTTCATTTTATTTTTTTTTATTTCTTTTTTTTATTGGTTGTTCACAACATTACAAAGCTCTTGACATATCATATTTCATACATTAGATTGAAGTGGGTTATGAACTCCCAATTTTACCCCAAATGCAGATTGCAGAATCACGTCGGTTACACATCCACAATTTTACATAATGCCCAATTAGTAACTGTTGTATTCTGCTACCTTTCCTATCCCCTACTATCCCCCCTCCCCTCCCCTCCCATCTTCTCTCTCTACCCCATCTACTATTGTTTTTAATTTTAAACAAGAAGTTTGTTTAAACCATAATCAATGAGCTATTTAGTATTCATTTTTAAGAGTAATCTATTCCTACTGAAAGATAGATTATTCTACATGTAAGAGTTATGTAGGAAAAAAAGTTACAAAATTGTTCTTGGTTTTACAACAATAAATGAAAAACATTAAAATTCTCCACTAGAACAAGGTATACAAGGATTTGTTGTTGTTTTGTTAAAACAGTAAGAACAAAATAATTTACTATAATATAAAGGTGAGAGCTGAAGGAATATGCTACTCATGGAGAAAGGGGCTTTTCTCCCATTCCATCTCTACTTGATGTCAATCAAAACATACCTTTTCCCATTTAGTAAAAGAGAGGAGAGAAATTATATCCCATCTATGTATATCAAAGTGCATAAAGGCATTCTACTGTCATGTATAATTAATTAAAACAAACAAAAAAATTCAAATTAAAAAAGAGGATAAGGAAGAGGAGAGGAGGGGAAAGGAGGAGGAGGAGGAAGCTTGTGTATATACCCTACTTACTGTATGCTTAATAAAGCAATGGAAAGTGGAAGCTGAAAGAACAGGGAAACCTACACTGCTTTAGTAGTGGGATGTGGTGAAGCCCAGTGGCATCTGCCAGCTGAGGAAGTGCTCTTGCCCTGTGAGAACAGTACTCCCTCTGGAGAAGAGCAGTTTCCCTTTTTTAGGAGACACCTCCCATCTGCTGCAGCTTCAGCCTCTAGGTGCAACTGAGAAGATTTGTCTGTCAAATTGGACTCCGACAAACCCCATGGTTCCTTGTAGACTTTCCTTAGTTCATTAAACAGTGTAGTCTCTCAATCTTAAACCACTCCACAGAAACAATTAGGATGCATGCTCATTGTTCTTAGTGTTGGCCCCTTCCTAGGGCTTCTTGAGGGCTGGAGTCATGATGCTTTTCCTATGAGTTCTTAATGCCTTTCTGCAGGAGAGAAAGCTGCAGAGAGACTCAGCAGATAAGCGAACTAGTGCTGCCAGGGAACTCTTACAGAGTGAGAGAAAGTATGTGCAGATGCTGGAAATTGTGCGGGATGTTTATGTGAGACCACTGAGAGCAGCACTGGCATCAAACAGAGCGATTCTGAGTGCTGCAAACATACAGATAATTTTCTCTGATATTCTGCAGATTTTAAATCTCAACAGGTAAATCACATTTTGTCTCAAGAGCTGTACAGAACCTCTTTCTCTGCTCCTCCTGGGTACAATGATCATCTTGCAGAGGGGAGGGCTCCTCAGCACGTCACTCTCTGGGCTGCAATTGGAAGTGATCATTCCTCCCTGGGTCCAGGCTAGGTGCAAAGATAGAGTCCAGTGCTGGGGCTTTCTGTATCAGAAGAATATTTGCACAAAAGACAACCAGAAAGAGAGCTGGGTGGAGTCATTCTTAATCATCAAGTCTTAATAGATCAGGGAGAGAGGAGCAGAAGAACTTAACAGGCTCAACGTAATAGGGAACTTTACCCAGAAATCCCAAGACAGATCAGTTTAATAACATGTGCTTCATGTATATAACCTGAGAGAGAACAGTGACTCTACCTGTTGTAAAGTAAGAAAATTGAGCATATGCTGCTCTGACAGTGACTCTTTAGGTAACTTGGGACCAGTTGTCCACCCTCTATAGGCCCCAGTCGCCATGAAATGAAGAGGTTGGCGAGGCCTCTGCCAGTTTTCAAGACCTGGGACAGCTGGGAGAGACTACCTTAGAGGCCCAGGGACATATGGTGCTTAGAGTTGGAGCTGTCTAAGCTGTTGTTGTTCCCTGAAGGTGGGACATTCAGGGGCAGCTGTATTGAAGCTAGCCTGGGTTCTGACTCCAGGAATTAGGACAAAGAGGGGGACCTTCCACAGCCTGCCTACTTTCTTACACCCTTACCCCTACTTCAAATCTCCGTTGCTCTATGTTAAGAAAAAAGTTCTTGATCAAAATCAAGTACCGTCATAAAAGACTAGGCCGCAAAAGTCTACACTAGCAACAATTAAGTCTGCAAGCTATCATGGGCTTATATTCACGATTACATTTTCCCCATATTGCAGGCAGTTTCTAGATAACCTAAGAGACAGACTACAGGAATGGAGCTCAGCCCACTGTGTGGGGGAAATATTCATAAAGTTTGGAGGCCAGTTGAACACATACACCAATTTCTTCAATAATTACCCTGTTGTTCTGAAAACCATCGAGAAGGTAAATGGTTGACTCGTCATCCATCCTTTGATTAGACCTCCTATGCTTGCACTGAATGCAATCCAAAGGACCAGAGTTAACAAGAAGGGCTGCTTCTCTGCCTTTCTCTCCTAGGTCTTCTCTCCTGTCCTGTGAGCTCTCTGAGGACAGGGACCCTGACAAAGAGCTAGGACAGTGCTTTACACACAGTATTATCTAGGTTGAACTGAACTAATCCTCATACACACTGCCCATTACATCTTACCTGGCTCCCTGTGGCTCAGTTACAGGAGAATGTTCAACAATTAGGTAGAAGAAAGACTGTGAGCTTTGATTCTACTCTCCAGCCCAATCCCATATGGCTCGGATGAGTTCAGCTCTTTGGACAAAAGTGCACTTGAATAAGGCAATTTCATAGATCTGATCCATAGATCTGATCTTGAGGACAAGAATTGGAGCAGAGACACATGTTATCAGAAACAAACTGGTGCCAAAATTTTTATAGTTGGTTATGTTTAATAATGAGACCTGCTCCACTAGTATAGTGTATATGTATATATTCAATAATTGTTAGCTATAATTATCGAAATCAGAATTTTTAGAAATTAGCACTGCTGACATCATTTAGACATGTAACTACTGAGTGGAAGGAGGTAAGTTCATGGCTGCATAATGGAGATGAATTAATACATCTAAAAACATATATTAAATATAGTGGAATGCTTTTTAATATTATGAAAACATGATTAATAGCAGTATTAAAAGTGACTATTATTATTAATCAAGTTCTTACTACAATGAAATAACCTCTACTGCATGACAGGTACTTTATTGATAGAATTATCCCTCTCATCCTAAATTAGGTGTGAGATCCATTTTACAGATGAGAAAGCTAAAGATGAAAGAAGTTAACTTGACAATGTCGATTTATTCTCTTTCTAATCCAGGCCCGTTGAAAAGTCTATTATTATTTGTCTTATTGATTAAGTTCAATGGCTAGGGCTAGATCTATGATATTATTAAGATACTCTGCTTAATATATTAGGAGACACTGGGGGTGCCTTTAGTACTTGGAATAGATAGAGATGTTGTCCTGCTTGGAGTGTTCCATAGGTCGTCACTCACCAGGTGGAACAGAAGGCTTTGAAGCTGTCTTATACAGAAAGGTTTTGACAATTGTTCCCTTCTAGTGCAGAGAAATGACACCAGCATTCCGAGCTTTCCTGAAGAGGCATGATAAGAGCACTGTTACTAAAATGCTGAGGTGAGTTCCAAGGGAGAGCACAGTTGGGTCCCAAGGACAGGGTACTCCTCAATTTTCAAGCAGAGACCAGGCTCCCTTCTCTGTGCCTCATACAGCCTGCCGGAGCTGCTTTTGTTCCCATCTCGGAGATTTGACGAATATGTGAATCTTCTCTATGCTCTGAGGCTTCATACTGCTGCGGAACACATTGACCGAGGGGACCTGACTACTGCAATTGGCCAAATCAAAAAATACAAAGGTTATATAGATCAGGTTCGTTGCTGATAAGCATCTGTCTTTCACAAATGTCACAATGCTTTTGTGGCACTCTCAAAGATCCTGAGATATCTTCTCTTCTGTGGTGTTCTTGTAGTCTTTGGTTCTTTCAAATACTAAATAGATATTTGTATTCAATGGTTTTGAACACTAAGGGCATCGATCCTAACCCAAGCAACATGGAATAGAATGTTTTCAGAGAGCTGTACAATGACAATAAAATCTTTACTAAAATGAAAGTTTGAAATTTTTATTTTCTTGATAACAAAAAGAAAGAATGATGTGTATAATCCTTTGATTCTGAAATTACTTTTTAAGGTATTAATTAGTTTTCCTGCTTCAGTAAGTACAGAAATCAATCTGAAAGACATCATCATCGATTGTGCCTACCACATAGGAATCTGGGCTGAATATAACCTGTTACTCCTGTTACCATATCAAAGCCCTGAGGATGCTTTCATAAATAGTAATGTTACTTACCTTTTAAAACACTGTTTTATGGGGCTGGGGTTGTGGTTCAGTGATAGGGCACTCACCTAGCATGTGAGGCCCTAGGTTCGATCCTCAGCACCACATAAAAACAAATAAATAAAATAAAGGCATTGTGTCCAACTACATATTAAAATTTGTTTAAAAAATAAAACACTATTTTAAAACAGCAGGTACAGAAAATTGAAGTTTTTATTGTAGTAAAGTATCAAACCCTGCACCAACTGCCACAAAAATATTTTAATCCATTTCTTTTAGGATTAAAAATGTCCCAATTTTAGTTGGTCTAAAATCAGTTTGTTTTCTAGATGAAAGAAAACATCAGAATGAAGGAGCAGCTGTCAGACATACAGAGAATCATCTGGGGGTGCCCTGTAAGTATTCTGATGTACTTTCTGTATTCTTTGCTCATGAGTATAATCTCATCTTTGGCAGAAGACATAAAGATCCCACTGTAGCTAATGTATGGAACATCTGCTGCTGCTGGGGCTCACTGCAACCTCTCACATTTCACATCTTCCTTATCTGTAGCCATGCTCCATGAGAAGAGGCACACGTGACCTTGGCCCTATCCCACCACTTTTCTGCAGTCTTGGGTCCTTATTTATGGTTAGCTATTATCTCTTGACTATCAACTTGTCCTCCTGCCTTCTCTTACCTACTAAGGATCACACCACAAATGTACTTGCCATTCTCTGGTAGTGTAGCCTTTCTTCATTTGACTTGCATTTGTTCTTTGTACAAACTCTTCTTTGAAATTGCCTTCCTTTCCTAGTCTACTGGATAAATGCTATTCATCCTTTAAAAACCAGGATCAATCATTCTCTTCTCCATGCAGTTTCCCTAACATTTCCAGCTGTGAGCTGTTTCCTTCTTTCACAGCCCTGGACCATCCCTGACACATGTTACCGAGACCCTCTATTTATACAGCTGGGAGAGCCACCATGTGTGAACTGATTCACTTGTCTTCCCGTGTCTGGCATTCAGTAGGAGCTCCCTATGTGAATTGTGTTGAAGTATCAGTGGATTGAAGAAATGATTTTTATTTGGTCAAACAGGGGGAGCTAGATAGAGTTTTTGTCATTATTTCAATCTTCATGGAAAGAAAAGAGTTGGTTGAACAGCAAAAGCCCAAATTTTTGCAAGTCAGAGAGTCTCTAGAACTTCATCTCTGACTCACTGTACATACCAAGATACTATTCTCATGATCAAGAGATCAATACAAAGGCCTGAAATTTTAATTTGTAGCATTTCATTTGCCTCCTTTTCTTTTCTTTTTTTAAAAGATATTTTAAAGATGGATTCAATATCTTTATTTTATTTATTTTTACGTGGTGTTGAGGATTGAACCCAGTTCCTCAAGCATGTGAGGCAAATGATCTACCACTGAGTCACAACCCCAGCCCCATGCTTCTTTTTCTTACTAATTTCCTTTTAATCTCCCTCCTTCACTTTGTTTTTGATACTATAAAATTGTTTACAAAAAATAATTTTGGTAGTTTTTTTTTTTTTTTTTTTTTTAGGTGTAGATGGACACAACAAAACGCCTTTATTTTTATGTGGTGCTGAGGATCGAACCCGGGTCCCGCCTATGCTAGGCAAGCACTCTACCGATGAGCCACAATCCCAGCCCAATTTTGGTAGTTTGAAAACTTTGACAACATCCCCAAATAAGTTTTTATTGTCAATTGTGGTCTTTCTAAGGAAAGCCTGTTTTATAAACAATGAAAATATTCACTTTTTCAAAACTGAACCAAGTTCTAGTCAACACTTCATGTTCTGGTATATAAAATGGTTCTGCAGTGATGATATTTGTTTTAAAATGTTTATACATGCTTCTAATTTTTTGACTTTATAGACTCAATTTGAAATAAACAGATACCTGATTAGGGTCCAAGATGTAGTCCAACTCCACTGCTGTGATGAGGAGATAAGTTTCTCTTTAAGGTAAGCAGCAGTTAATTCCCCTAAGGCTGTGAAGACCATAAGTGCTGGTGGCTGTTATTCATTTCACATCTGTGGCCTTCAGTTACTGTGCCTGACATACTATAGGTGTGTGATAAATCTTTGCATTGAACAAAGAAGCTACATACACCCCCTCTGATGTAGTGCAAGGTACTCTATTTAATCTTGCATAAGTTCTATGCAATTCTTGGACAGATGGGAGAAAATAAATTGTCTCAACCAAGACCACAAACTCCATAGAAGCAGAACTTCTAGAGGTTGGTTACTTTCCTATTGAGAGAAGATTCAAGTTTTATGGATTGCGCACCAATCATCTGCTCAACTATACAAAAGAGGGGAACATCTTATTATCCTCAGATAGTTGTTGAGGCTGGTATTAAAAATGACTTCACCTAGCAGAGCACAGTGGCACACACCTGTGATCCCAGTGGCTTGAGGAAGGAGGATCTCGAGTTCAAAGCCAGCCTTAGCAACTTTGTGAGACTATAGGCAATTCAGTGAGACCCTATCTCTAAATAAAATACAAAAAAGGGCTAGGGATGTGGCTCAGTGATTGAGTGCCCAGGAGTTCAATCCCTAGTACCAAAATAATAATAACAACAACAACAACTTCACCACATGTAGTTTGCACAGTGCTCAGAGTAGTGCAAGAATGCCAATGTCCATAAATTAGTGTTCCATTCCTCCTTTAGAACAAGATGGACAAGTTCTTTCCTGTAAAGGTTCAGAGAGTAAATATTTAGGATTTGCTGGCCAAATGATCTCTGTGGCAATGACCTACCTTTGTCATTGTAGCAAAAAACCCTAACATAAATGATATAATACAAAAAATGTATGCTATTCATAAACAATATATAAATGGATATGTATGGCTTTGTTCCAATAAATCGTTATTTACAAAAACAGGTATTGGTTTATAGTTTGTTTATCTCTGCTTTAGAAAACTATCAAACTGAGCTCAGTGGTAGAGTGCTTGCCTAGCATGTGTGAGGCACTGGGTTGGATTCTCAGCACCACATATGAGTAAATAAATTAAAGGTCCATTGATAACTAAAAATATATTAAAAAAACTATTTTCCAGTATTAATAGCAAAGATAATGACCTAGCACATAATTAAGCAGAACTTCTCAAGGATGGTCATTTTTCTATTGAAAGAAGACCCAAGTGACCAAATGATCCCATTGCAATAAAGGTAAAAAACTGATTTCTTTCAATGAATATTTCAGCAACCATTTTCCAAAAGCATAGAGCCCTGGTGTAGATGGAAGAAATATTTACCTCTATTTCCACCTTGAGCAGATCGTTAGTGAAAATCAAATTATACAGTAGTGTCTCATTATCAGTATTTTTGTTTCTTTTGTGCTGTTTTTGGCTAGTGACACTAGCAAAGAGCTACAATGATAGAAACTAGAGCCTAAAGCAGCAATTCTAAACTGCTGTGGTAGGACACATGCCAGGAATTGTTCCAGTTTGGGTTATTATTTGACCTTCATGTGTTCCTTCTTGAGCACTTCCTTTCCAAGTTTCTGTATTGTTTTCCTTCTATCTGCAGAACCTCCTTTAACATTTCTTGCAAAACAGGTCTACTGGCAATTAATTGCCTCAATTTTGGTTTGAGAAATTCTTACTTCTACTTCATGTTTGGAGGAAAATTTTGCAGGCTATGTAATTCTAGGTTGGAGATTTTTTTTTAATACTTATTTCACTCCATTCACTTCATGATGGAATAATTCCAAAGAGAAGTATAATCATTATCCTTGTTCCTCTATAAATAGGTGTTTTGTTGTTCTTTGGATTCTTTCAAGGTTTTCTCTTTGTTTTCTGAAGTTAAGAGTGTATTATGTGTAGATATAGATTTTTTGGGATTTATTCTGCTTAGTATTCTCTGAGCTTCCTAGGCTTGTGTTTTGCTGTCAATAATTTTGGAAATTTCAGCCATTATTACTCCAAATATTTCTTGTTCCATTCTCATCTCCATTTACTGTTCCCATTACACACATGTGTTTTGAAATGTACTCATTACTTGGATATTCTGTTCCTTTCTTCTCCAATCTGGTTTTTTTTCTTTTTCCGTTTGGAAAGTTTCTATTGACATATCTTCAAATATACTAATTCTTAACTCAGCTGTGTCCAGTCTACTGATAAGCCCACTAAAGAAAGGCATTCTTCATTTATGATTTTATTTTTAATATTTCTTTTTAACTTTCTTTTAAAAATTTCTGTTTGCATGACCCCTCTCTTCTTCCATGTGGTCTGCTTTTCCTATTAGATCCCTTAATATATTAATCATAGTTTAAAAATTTCAATATCTCTACCTTCTCTGAGTCTGGTTCTGATACTTGGCCTTTTTTCAATCTGTTTTTGGCCTCTTAGGATGCCTTATAATGTTTTGTTAAAGGACAGACACAAAGTATCAGCAAAAGGAACTGGGCTAAATAGGCCTTTTTAGTGTGAGGTTTTAGTTTATTTGGCGAGGAGGTAGGCTGTGTTTACTGGGTTGAGGTCAGAGTTTGCAATTTTCCCTAGTGTCCTTATTTTGGTCTCTCCTATTGTTTTTGGATTTCCTGGAAGATCTAAATAAGGTCTGACCCTTGTGGTTCTGTCAGCTGTATTATAGAGGGTACTATTGATATGGTAGTAAAGTAAGGGAAAGCATTCTGTACTTCTATGACCAGTGTTCAGTCTTTTAATGAGCCTATTGCCTGAGATGTGACCTTCGTAAGTGCTTCTCAGCATTTTTTCAACACTAAGATGAGGCATGAAGGATAGAGAGGGCTAGAGTTCGATACTCTCCTTTTCCTGCAATGGTTAGATTTTGGTAAAACCCAAGTTAGTTAAGTTCTGTTAAAAGTTCTCCTTGGGGGCAGGACTTGGTTAAGGAGAACAGAACTCTCTGGACATATTTCAAAATGGCTACTTTTCATCTGCCCTGGGGAAGAATAAGGGGATTTTTCTCTGTCCTTCATCGTAAGAACCTGTGGGTAAAACTCAGACCAGTGGGGGAACCCCTGATGTTTTCTCCTTCTCTTTTCTCTCCACACTCAATCTCCTGTAGTTAGTCAATGAGCCTTTAAGTGTTTGATACTGGCTCTACCAGTAGTTGGTTTAAGATTGTATTGGTCTATCCAGCTTTTGGGGTGGTGGTTAACTCTGTGACCTCAGTTCTCTGGTAGATCTGAGAAGAGTTGTCAATTCTGAGGGTTTTTTCCCATTTATTTTTTGTTATGAGGTTAGGAAAGACAACTTCCAAGCCCTTTACATGTCATTTGGAAACTGGAAGTCTTGATTAATAGAATTTAGACTTGTCTTGAACAAGAGATAAGAGTACATTTAAGGAGATAAAGATAATACTAAATTATTTTACACTCTGTGTGGTACATTTATATTCAAGTAGGCACTTTTTCTGATTACATTTATACTATTTTCCAATAAACATGTAACTTCACATTAACATTTGAAATTAAATAACTGCAAATAGGCTTATATTCTAAAATATTGCACAATATTTAGCCTGCAATCTTGTTTTCTGTCATTTTAGAAAATCACATAAGATAAAAAGAATTGCCATTCCCATGATTTCCATCAGAGATTTTTACTTAAAGCAAATACATTATGCTTATAGGTATAGCACTGACAGGAATATAAGGCTTTAAAGTTTACCATGTATTTAACTATTCTACTTGATAAATTCATTACAATCTCTTGGTGAGGCAGGTAGGACAGGATCCTGGAGAATCCAACTTCAATAAGTTGCCTGAGGTCACAGAACTATTAAAGGCTGGTCAGGAATTCACAACCTAGTCTCTCAATGAACAGGCTGTCTCCACAGATCATAGGCAGATGGAAAGATGAACTGAGCCTTCCTCATAATAAATTTACCAACGTAGCAGCAAGTACTTAACAAATAATTGACACTGAAAGAATGGGTAAATGTTTGCATTCTAAACAAAAAACTTCCTCTGGAATAGAGACGGAAGTCATAGTCATATAAAGCGCTAGAAATTTCAGAAGATATTTTTTCCATTGTGGACATAAACTAGTTTTAGATTATATTTAGCTTTTATAGTGTATTATGTATCTTGGAACTCTTATAACTTTTTTTTCAGAAACACCAATCTTCATATATATGATTTTAAGTTTGTTAATCTTTTTAAGTGTGGTTATTTACCAGGGCAACTATGCATTGGAGAAAGGGAAACACCCAGACTTTTTGCAGACATTAGACTCTTGGTTCTGAAGAGTCCTACTCTAGGGACCCAAGAGCTATTGTGATCCCCCAGTCAGTGGTACAGATGCTAGCTGTCAACTGTTCTGCTCAGATCAGCTCACAGTAGAAGCTGTTGTGCATTCCTGCTAAAGCTTTCATCCTGAAAATTTCTTTTAAAGTTTTATGTATTATAGGAGTTAGGTACTTTATGTCTTCCTGTGTGGTCTAGTTAATGCAATAATAACACAGCACTTCTAGAATGGAGTTAAGAATTTACACTAGAGTAACTGTGTTCCATTTTCCTGAGTCATTCATTATTTATAGCTGAGCAAAGAAATCCTGTCAAAATTCAGGGAAAAAGCAAATCCCCTAACCTTAGAGTTGATTCTGAGTGTAAGCATTGGTAGCATTCTGAAACATTCCATAGGATTTGTAATTTCCACTCTACTTGCTCCATTAGGTTGATATTAAAGGTCAAATTATTTGCTTTTGCATATTTAAAAGTTCTTAAAACTTTAAAAAAACCTTTTGGTGCTTTTTGTCGATGGATGAAAATTGTTGGAGAGTTTGAGGGGCTTAATTTAGTAAATGGCTCTTAAAAAACTTTTTCTAGATTAAAATTATATATATATATTTAAATATGTATAAAACTTTGTATGGGGTACTGGGATTGAACACAGGGTCTCATGGTCTCATGCAAAAGGGCTTTTCCACTGAGCCTCATCCCTAACCCTTTTTTATCTGTTATTATGAGACAGGGTTTTGCTAGATTGCCTAGGCTGGCCTGAAACGTGATTCTTCTTGCCTCCGCCTCCTGAGTGGCTGGGATAACCAAAGACAGAAAGTAAAAGTTTGAAAGGAATAGCTGGCTCAAGGAGCTGGAATACTACTGTTTCTGTCTATCCACACACCCACAAACCTCATACTTCCTTAATACTGTACAAATAGCTGAAACTTAAACTATAGTATTCCCTGGAATTTTAACTCCTGGATGTAGTCCTTTGCTCAGCTCTTACATATGGTTATAATTAATAAATGACTTAAATGCCTTACTTCTCAAACTGTGGCTGGCCTGTAGGTCAGCAGAATCAGCAACACAAGGGAGCTTACTAGAAATGCGGTCTTATGCAGGTGTCATGGAGAACCTGGAATTCTTTAATGCAAGTACAGAACTCATTTGACTAATCTATCTTGGGACTAATCCATACTCTTGGGATTCCTATCTGATAGAAATTAACAGCAAATGTAAGGAATTTGTTTATGTGAAAGGAACTAGGAATTAGTTGGTGGCAAGGGGGAAGAGGACCAAAGCTTCTAAACAAGATAAAAATGTCCATCTGTAGTGGAAATAAATAAGTCCATTCACACCATTAAGTACTATTTAGCTATTAAAAAAGAATGAATTAAAACCAAGCAGTTAGATCAAAATGATTTTCATTGCTGAGAAAAGCAGAAAAGAAAAAAAAAGTGGGGAATAATATTGGCATTTTTGTAAAATAATGGAAATTTCCCTGTAAATAGATGTGTGTATACATGCGTGATTACCTGAGCAATACAAAGAAATTGAAGGATATGCATTGGGTTGGAAAGTTGGGTCACATGAATAGAGGGAGGAGTGAGCCAGCACAATGGAAAAAGTGAGGAGAAAAAGCATATTTGTACATTAAATAAGAACCAACTGCAAGACTGGTGTCACTTAAAAATTTCTATAAAAATGTATGCTCTACATGGACAATTTAGAAATTAATACTGAAGATAAAGAATGAGACTTCCCTTGAATAAGCATACACAAATTGACTCCCTTCATTAAATTCCCAAGGGTTGCTTGACAGTCATAAAATAATTATATTCTCTATTAAAACATTTAGGTTTTGGGCTAGGTCGTGGCTCAGTGATAGAGTGTTTGCGTTGCATGTGTGAGGTAGTGGGTTTGAATCTCAACACCACATAAAAATACTGTGTCCATTTACAATTAAAAAATATATTTTAAAACCCCAAACATTTAGCTTTCTTCATGTAGCCATTCCTGAATGGGAGGGGCATGGGAGCTATGGAGAGAGGTTTGGGTCCCTGAGCTCCTCTCAAGTATGATGCTCTGTTAGTGTACTCTCACAGGACAACCCACACTGGAGCACAGTGAGACCCACCAATGAACTGCTCCAACAACAGAAATCAAAGAGCATAACTGGGGGATGGTGTTGTGGCTCAGAGGTACAATTTTTGCCTAGCATGGTTGAGATACTGGGTTCAATCCTCAGCACCACATAAAAATAAAAGCATAAATAAAAATAAAGGTATTGTGTCCACCTACAATTAAAAAAATTTAAAAAGTATAACTGGCTAAGGACACCAAATTTTGCTTCTTGATAAACATAGCCTACAGCTGACCATGTTAGTAACCCCCAGTAAAAATGAAGAACTCTCTTTTACCTTGCATGCTGATCAATTTCTCTCCAATCAAAATGAAAAACTTACTTCTACCTAGTATTTAAATGTTTCTTTCCCCTCTACTTAAAAACACCTTGTGCCACACTCATGTTTCCCTAAGAGACAAAACAAAAACTTATTTCTCTCTCATTGCCCAAATATGCCTGGCACAAAATACTAAACAAGTTTAAAAAGAGAATCATAATAAGAAGATAATGCCAAGTGAAGTTAGCCAATCCCAAAAAATCAAATGCCGAATGTTTTCTGATATAAGGAGGCTGATTCATAGCAGGGTTTGGGAGGGGGAGCATGGGAGGATTAGATGAACTCTATAGATAGGGCAAAGGGGTGGGAGAGGAAGGGAGGGGGCGTGAGGGTAAAAAAGATGGTGGAATGAGATGGACATCATTACTCTAAGTACATGTATGAAGTCACGAATGGTGTGAATATACTTTACATACAACCAAAGATATGAAGAATTGTGCTCTATATGTGTAATATTATAATGCATTCTGCTGTCATATAACAAATTAGAATAAAAAATTAAAAAAACTACATGCTTTGTAAAATGAAGAAAATAAAAGGAACTATAATCTCAAAACAAAACAAAGAACCATAATATGATTCTTCGTAAAGGAGCGAAAATTCAATGTTTATTTTTCCCATACTGATTATGAACGACTCCATCCAGTAACTTGATGGCTCCCAATATTGGTCTGAGAGACAGTGGGAAATAATCACATCAGAAGGAAAATTTTACTGTGAACGTGATGTGCACTTGAAAAGTCTAGAGTGGGGTCAAAGTCTTAACTAGGACTTATTAAAGAGGCTTAATAACTGTTTAACAAAGCACATATATGCATATATGAAAACTCTCCCCATCTCCATTTTAACACAGGCTCTATGAACAAATTCGTGATCTCAGCTTCTTCCTCTTCAATGATGCACTGCTTGTTTCTAGCCGGGACATATCTTACACTCCATTTGAAAGGACTTCAAAAACAACCTACCAGTTCATTGCATCAGTGGCCCTTCACAGGTTACTAATAGAAGATATTCCAGATTCCAAGTGTATGTATTTATTCCTTTAAGAGCAAATATCTTTATAAAGTTCATCAACTATTAAAACAGAAAAGGACTGTTTTCCTTTTAGCAGGAAAAGGACTGGAGTTAGTTACAATTTGCTAGCTTGCAAATAATTCCCTAAACATTAGAATTTTGTTAAACTTTCATCTATCTCTAAAATGGCAAAAAAAAAAAGGGAATGTTGGCATTATCAGACAAGTCCCCTAGATATCAGGAACAGAGCTTTCAAAATCACAAAGGGAGGCAAGACCCCACATCATCCTGAATTCGTTTGAGAGTTTTGAGTTCAGAGCTAGAGTTCTTAACCACTGTGCTGTAATGTCTGAAGATGTTAGAGACTTAAAATACTACCTTAGATTTTCCTCTATTACTTCTTTATTCTATTAGGACTACATAGCTATTACAAACTTGTATTGTACCTTTTCTTCCTAAAATTCCCATTGAAGTTGGGAGTTTTTCTATAAAGGAGTTAACAAAATTGCATAGGCTGCTTAGTAATTTGACTATTTTATCTATACTAATTCCAGTGGAAATCACAAAAAAGAAATCTTACTTAACCTGTTATGCCTACTTTCAGTAATCATCCTGCACTCTACTTCTCAAGCTTAAAAGGACCAATCTCTTTCCTATACTTATTAGGCCAATTTAAATGTAACTCTCTCATTCCAATATTTTCCAATGCATGTAAAGAGAGGAGTTATGTTAAAGCAGGAATCAAGATCTTAGAGAAAAAATTAACCTGAATAAAAAAACTATTTCTCAATAGCTTCAGCCCCATTCTAAATCTGAGCCTTAGGGAAAAAAGAATGCCAAGTGTAGGAATAAATATTTCTACCTAGAAAGTATCTGAAGGTAAAAAGGATTGGTACCCATAATCATAGTGCATGGTTACTGTATGAAACATGTTTCTTTTCTTCAGTTCATTTCCTTTCATGATAATCAACTATACTCTGTGACACTGTTATGTAACCTAACAGTGGGCAGGCACTGAATTAAGTACAGTACCTGGCTTTGTCACTGGCACCTCATAACAAAGTTGACTAGGTCTAGCTCTCAGCATGTCTAATTATAGTAACTATTAGTAAAGATCTTTATCAATTCCAGTTCTTTATGGAGTGACTGAGATTAAGGAATTAAAGAATACCACATCATCTACCATTTAGTCTTTCAAATAATTGCTAATTATAAAGATTATTTTAGATTATGACATATTTAATCATTAATTTCAGGAAGTTATATTCTAAACTAGGCTTGTGTTTGTGTTGAACCCTTAATTTTAGGTTTCAAAGATGACTTGGTCCTTGAAATTTAAAACATTTTCTCTTTTTGTTACTGTAAAGAATAATTTGTGTACCTCAAATGCTTTCACAGATGTCAAGAATGCATTTATTCTTCAAGGTCCAAAATGTGAATGGATTTGTGCTACTGAGGTGGAGGATGACAAATTCCTATGGTTGTCAGTACTCCAAAATGCGATCAAAAGCAGTATGGACAAGTGAGACTAGACTTGGAAGAAAACATCAGGGGTGCCAATTCTCCCTGGCAAAGACTGACAATGTTGTTCTTCTGTTCAGGGTATCCAGTAAAAAGCAGAATGATTATCTGTTGTGGATGATGAGAAGATGAGAACCATAAGGTTCTTTCCAACTTTTGAACTTCATTATCTATAATAAGTTTTGTGAGGCTGGGGATAGCTCTATTGGTAGAGTGCTTGCCTCTCATGCACAAGGTTTTGGATTCAATCCCCAGTACCACCACCCCCACAAAAAAAAAAAAAAAAAAAAAAAAGAGGCTTTTATAACACAGTCATGTATAACATAAGAACAATCAGTCTAAAATTTTGAACCATTTCTTTTGGTAGTTATTTTTCCTGGACATTATTTAAAATAATTTGACTGATATAATGAGTCCTAAGAGAACAAGCATATTGTGCAAAGTTTTTTTTAATCATCTAAAGAAAAAACACTAGAAAGAAAAGTTTAAATGATCATTCTAAAAAGCTTAATTTGTTGATTTGCAATCTTTAAAATTTTCATAGAACAATTACTGATTAAAAATACATAAGAAATATAAGTGACAACTTTCTAAAACACTTGTCAATTACATCCTTAATATGAATGTAATCCTCTAGCAAACATAAAAAAGTACCATTACAAAGCACTAGATTTTTTTTTGTATTTAGTTTTTTTTTTGCTGCAAAACTTAGAATATCCAAATAAGGAGGTTTAAAAATACTGTTGATATTGTCAAATTAGAAGGCCACTGAAAAATAAGCCATTTTTAAGAAACAAAAATAGATGGAAACCTAGTGAAACTGCCTGTAATGGGACTTAGCTTAATAAAAACAAATGAATTAAGACAGCTCTGTTTAAAACAAAGAAACAGCAAAATAGAAGTTTCCTTGGCCTTTAAAGCCTTTATTAGCATGTTTAGCTAATAAAGGTTATAACTTGGGGCCACCTGGAAACTTTAGCTGATGTATATAGTAGTAATATTTATGTCTACTTAATGATAAATGAAAGTTATATAATCTTGGAAGCTTTAGTTGCCAAATTCCTTTTTGCTTGATAAAGTAATAAAATTTACTAGTATAGTTTAGGATTTTTATCCTGGGTTAACCAATGAAACTAATTCCTTCTAATTCTTAAAATTTTAAATTCTTATTAAAAATATACAAAAGTTAAAATACGTATGTACTGTTTTGTTAGTGTGAAATCACACTTATGATTCTATTATGATATAGCCCTGTAGTTTAACATCTATGATTCAACAGAATAACTTTAAAGAGAATATCTGTTGTTAGCAAGAATGCAAATTTACACATGTGATCCCAATATATGATATAAAACAAATTGTAAGACAGTATATCATCCCAAATAGGGTATACTCCAGAAACCTGTAATAGGAAAACCTATCTATATGGCAAAAAGAACAAGTGACAAGATAGTGAAAGGTAAACAAGAAATCTTAAGGAATTTCCATTTCTTCTATAACTGATATCCTTGGAAATTTAGAAGCACATTAATTTAAAATAATCTCAGTAATAACTTCTAAAAAAGTTGACAGTATCAATCATGTAAAATAGACACGGCGATGTTTCTGAATGGGCAGTATTTATGGAGTGGTTTCAGAGTTTTCCTTTACCTTGAAGGGACAATTGAAAAGGTCCATCTTCATAGACAGCTCATAAGTTTCTATGATTGCTGCTGAAAGATTTTAAGTCTCTGATGAACTGGTCAAAATATGACAAGGAAAAGTATTACCTGACCCCCAAACTGATATGTAAACATTGCTTGAAGAATGTATTTAAGAAAGTAGAATATTGCAGATAGGAGGACTCCGCTCAGTAACTTAGCTTCTGGTAAAAACTATCTTATCCAACATAGTTCTTTGAAGTAAAAATTAAATAGAAAACTCATTTTAAAGGTTTTTTTTTTTTTTTTTTTTTTTTTTACAGAATACAGATGTTTTATATAAAATATTAAACCTAAAAGGATAAATCAAGTTTATTTTTGTTTTCCTTATTTCCTTATTGCAAAGGTTTCTGAGTGTTTGCTTGAGCCCATACTGTCAATCAAATCTGTATGTGGTTTTGCCATATAAATATGATGGACCAATATTATATTTTCCTGATGCTGCAAAAGAGAAGAGGTGGGATATGCCAACAAACACAATATACCCTCCAGAAAAAGTCATCCTGACCCTTTTATTGTTGAAATTAAAAAAAAAAAAAAAAAGAGATACTTAAATACAACAGTGAACATATAGGGCAAAACAGAATCATAAAATTTAATTTTGAATTAAGCAGTGAGCTGAATATTTGGGCCTCCAAATTGGCTTTGAACCCAAAACCGCTTAAAAATGGGGTATGTTCACAGTTAACGGCAATTGGCTTATAGGTGAGAGAATGGTCGAAGTTGTTCCAGTTGAACTTCCAGGGAAATTCTCTCCTCAAGAACATCCTGAAAAAGACATCAAGTCCAAGTTATGTTCAAAAATATATAAAAACAAAGACACATTTAACAACAACTCTGAAAACAATTTGCTTTTGTCAAGGAGACTGATGGACAACTATTCATATTTTGAAAGTATACATCACTTTAGAAAGGTAGTTTCTTCATACATTGAAAATATGATCCTAGTAACTTAAATCTTTCTTACTATGTAAATCAGATAATAAAATGTTTTTAAGCCAATTATAAGGAAAGTTAACATTTGCAAAGAATGGGTATTTCTATAAAAATTTATATAAAGCCAGCCTCCTGAATAAACTATAGATGAATTAGTTAACACAGATTATTTTCCCTAGTGATGTCATTCAGTTATAGCAACTTCTGGATCCCATTTTGAGTTTCAGTCCCCAAAGGAAAAATTCATTTTGCACCCAGATTTTTTAATTATTGTTGATTCTGAGGAGTCTTTTCAAGTAGCCACAAATTCTAATTTTTTTTTCTTCTTCTCTGGAACCTTAGGTAGAATTCTCAGGTTCCATCCCAAACCTACTAAATCAGAATTTGCATTTTAATACAACCCTAGATTATTTATATATACATTAAAGTTTATAAACCACTGGTTTATAAGACATGAGGGCTTAATAATGTGAGTGAACAATAAGTGATTCTGAGTATAATTATTTTATTCATTCAAATAAATCATAGTGCATAATGGGAAAAACCCCTCATTCATCTCAAGTATTGGATAACAGTGGAACACATTATATGGAAATACCATTTTTATTTAAGGTCTGTCTTTTCTATTTCTACATGTAAGATAATCTAAAATTTTTTCCACCCCTTGTCATCTTTGAGTTCCTTTAATATAATCTGAGTTGTTTTTGGTAAGAAGATAAACTAACAGCAGTCAAATCATCTCAGAATTGAGTTTCAAAAATTTCTTTTACTACTAAAAAATCCAATGGTTAATACAACATTTTAGACATACATTTCTCTTGATATGAGGGAGATTTCATGCAAGCATAAAACCTATTGGATTCTCTTTAACTTCCTCCACAACTCTGGGCCTATGGAAATTCCCAAATAATGAATCACAAACTATATTACCTTTAATTGTTGTTGCAATTCACTATTCAATCTGGCCAAAACTGTGTTGGTTTCCTTATTGCGTCTAATTGATGCCTGAATAGCTTTCTTATCTTTTCCAATGGATCTGAAGAAGTAAAGAGGACATAAACCAAAACCTTTATTTCTTTAACCTGAATTCATTGTTCCTTGATCTATTTTTGAGCATGGAAAGAACAGGGAACATCTTTTTCCTTATTAACACAGCTCAAAACCTTACTTAGTCAGTTTCAATGGTCAACTAAAAACATATAAGGTTCAGAAGCTTTTGTTTATTTTTGCTATTGTTTTAATTACTGAAAATCCCAAGATTTTTTTTCTGTTTTCCGTCTTTTTCCTTAGCATCGTACTGGTGATTGAATCCAGGGTGTGCTCTCCCACTGAATCACATTTCCACCCCCCACCTTTAAATATTTTTTTTAGTCGTCTATGAACTTTCATTTTATTTATTTATCTATTTATTTGTGTAGTACTGAGAATCAAACCCAGTGCCTCCACATACTAGGAAAGTGCTCTATCACTGAGGCCATAACTCTAGCCCTTTCGACTTTTGTTTTTAAAAACAGGGTCTTGTTAAACGGCTACCCCTGAACTTGTGATCCTTGGCCTCCCAAATAGCTGGGATTACAGGTATGAGCCACTGCACTCGGCAAGAATCCCAAGTTTAAAGTTAAACAGTCTAGGGCAGACCCTGGCAAACTTTTTCTGTAAACAGACTTATTTTAGGCTTTAAGGGCATATAGTTTCTGTTGTATACTCTATTTTTTCCCCTTTTCCCTTCTATTCTCTTTTTACAAGGATATAAAAACCACTCTTAATTCATGGGTTTTACAAAAATAGGCCATGGTCTGAATTTGCCACCTGAGTTTCAGTCTGCCAAACCCTGATCTAAAACAACCACAATTAAAATATTAGTTTCATTCTACATTATTGTTTTTAAAAAACTCCCACCCCAGAGTTTACAATAGGGTGTTAAAATGTAATTGGAATTGAATTTAATAATAATAATGGGGGAAAAACGTGGGAAGAATAGTCTACTTACTCAGGAATGAAAAACTAAAAACTGAGAATTAGTCTGACCATTAATTTCTTTCAGTTTGGTGTTTTAATTATTGTGCTTTTTGTTCTTAGTAATTAAATGTTTAGGAATAATGCTGATTACCTGGGAATAGAAGGTTGTGACGCAAGAACAGCAGCCAAGACACCTGTCTTTTGTGTGTGTTCATCGACATCTGGCCTTAATTCATCTTCTGATTTTAATCTTCTTCGGACAGGTTTAGGTGGTGGAGCAAGAGGTGTTGTGCCTTTGCTCTGGAAGACAAGAAATCCATTAATAATGGATATTTCCTGAAGACGTTCATGGTTAACTAGCACTTTGCCAACCCTGTTTGCTTTCTTTAAGCTACTTGCTTTTAAAACAATTAAAAGTTGGCTGTCCTACTTTAAAATAATTCATCTAATTGTCAGCAGCTAACTTAAAGTGCAACAGGAAAGGATGTTTCTAGTTGATCCCACAATCATGAATATATCTACAATAACAATTTTTTTTAAATAGAGTAAAATAAGCTCCTTGGAGTCCAAATCTGATAAAAGACCGTAAAAGTCAGTTTTAACATAAATATGATACATATTCTACATATACCAATTCAATAAAGAAAATCTTCAAAAATATTCATTTCAACATAGGAAATCCTATTAAAAAATACTAAAATATATCATCTTTAAGGATAAAATAATTTATTATGAACATGCGGAAGGCTACATAATTATTAAAAACCACTAAAATGCACAGTAATTATAACTCTTGAAAATGAGTGGACACTTTTTTGGGGATTGTGAATCTGCCTCCAATAGAATCAATTAACACTAGAGTATTTCAATGTTTAGTATAACTTGATTAAGTAAATAAATAAAAACAAGAGTCAACTGTCATCTCTTAAGTGCTTTTTAAAATTTGTTGTGATAAATTGACAAAAAATAAAATTATTTAAAAATATCACAGAAGTACTAACATAGTAAAAAATTAAGTGTCCAAAAAGTAGAATTTAAGCATTTTATAGCAACACATCCTGTTTTAAATAACTTGGACAAAAAAAAAAAAAAAAAAAAAAAAACTTGGACATATATGAATAATAAAAGGAAAAAAAAAGTTACCAAAATTGTTCTCTCGAGCAGAATGAATGAATTTACAATTTGAAATGCACAAGGGAGAAGAATTTACAAGAGGAATGGAGAAAGATATTAGAAAGCAAATATAATAAAATATTAATGATATAATCAACATGGGGTTTACTGATGAACAATGCAAATTTCTTTCTCTATAATACTTTTTGCATACCACATTGGCAGGAACACTAGCAGCTGTCTTTTCTTCTATTTTACTATCCGTTTTGGCAACTCGAAGAGAACTTGCAGGATCAGAAGCTTTTTCAACCTAGAGATGAACACATTACCATTTTAATGATATATAATATATAATTATGCACAAATATAGAATATGTAACAAATCAGAGTAAAACTTCAAGAAAATATTTTGATAAGAAAACTGAGAGCTCAGAGATGAGAAGGAACTTGGAAATACCACATTAAATGTCCTTTCTCTAGTACTAAAAGGAAGCAAAGGGGAAAGGTCAACATCCATGAAGGAGGGAAGGGTGAATAAGGATGCAGCCATTGTACTGAACATCTAGGTGGTGGCTGGAAAGTTCTTCCGTTGGGGAGGGAATTCACCCACCCAGGGATGTGAGTACCAGTACTCTGACACATCTGCACTTGCCCTCAGACCTGCTCCTGTCTTCCTCAGTGCAGCCCTTTCACCTAATGGCCAGGCACAAAGTTATATGTTGGAATTAGTGACCAGTAGGAAATTTTCCACAGATAAAATCTATAGGAAACCTTTATCTAAGCCATGCTTGTCAAATAAACATGGCTTTTGAATCTGACAGAGAGGCTCAACATGGGTTAAAACAACAATTAGGATAGAGATTTCAGAATTCTTCTAGTTCCTCCCACTTCATATTTATACCTAGTGGTTTGAGACATTCCTAGTAATGCTCCTTGCCACTAGAACTATAACAGTCTCCTAGAATGCAATCTGCGAAGATCACATTTTGGCATTATATGGTTTGTAAGTTTGCCTAACTAAGGTGACTGGGTATATGTTATAGTAATCATGGCTCTTCTCTCTTGGAAATCTTTACTAAATCATACAATCAGATGCTCAGTATTGAACCTCCAGAGAAATGTTTCATCCAGGACCAGCTAGTTGTGTTTGTGTCTTTTCATACCATACCAGATTCAGATTCTTAGCATTATACTGCAACAAGCAGGTATTAAGAGGGCAAGAAAAAAGTTGAGAAACACTGACCCAGTGAATATGAATCCTCCCAAAGAGGCAGCAGCACATATTTTACTCAATGGTGTGCCATCTACTATTTGCCTTATCAGGAGTTCTTGTTCACAGAGAGGCTTTAAGAGAATGACATGGGAAGAGAATCCATGAATTAGGTAAGCCTTTGAAAACTGACCGGCAAGACTTCTGAATGCTTCTCAGCTTCATCATCTTGTTCTTCATTTACATTTGATGCAGCAAATACTTCAAATTGGCTGAAATCTGCAAAATTTGGTTGCTCTGGTATCTGCTGAGGTGAGGTACTAGTGTGAGTCATTAGGCCATCGGCATCCACTGGACGATGCACAGTGGGACCAGGAGCCTGGACAATGGTTTAGAACAGAGAAACATACATTTTTTTTTTTTGGGGGGGGGCGGATATCAATACCATAGAACAGTCTACATTTTCTTTGAAAATATGTTGTAAAATATATTACAATACAACATATTAGCTGTTTTGTAATATATTTTAAACTGTGTTATAATAAATATGTATATTATCTGTAAATTCATGGTGTATATTACTATGACATTTAGTTATAAATAAGTCTTCATAAGTGAAAAGCAGACACTCAAAAGCATTAATTAAGATGATAAAGCTCCAATAAAAATACTTTTTCAAAGTTTTTTTATTAGAATGTTTTTTATTCATCTGAAGAATTTTATAAATTGTACACTTGAATTTTATAATTTTATATACATTTTTCAAATGTACAATTTATAGGATCCTATTGTCCCTTCCCCCATTATTGTTTTTTTTTTCCCCCCAATACGGGACAGAAATTAGTTGTCAGTCAGAACACATGGATACCAGTACCACAAAGTTTTTATTTAAAAAACTTAAAAGTACATTAAAGGAGAGGAGAGGGTTTGGCCCTACCCAACTCCTCTTCTTGCAGTTTTTTAGAAAGTTATTTTTTTAGTTGTAGATGGACACAATATCTTTGTTTTTTATGGTGGTGCTGGGAATTGAACCCAGTGCCTCACACATGCTAGGCAAGTGCTCTACCACTGAGTCACAACTCTAGCCCCGTATTTTTTTTCCTTAATTGGGATACTGCACAATAGTTTACACCTTTAAAAAGTTACTTTTAAAAATGCTTCCTTATATGTTTCTTTAAAAGGTCATTATTATTATTATTATTATTTTTAAAAGGTCATTATTTTTCAAGTGCAAAAGAATTAGTTTCCCAAGAGGTCAAGTGCACTTCCCACTTCTTTTCAATCTGTCCTACACCACACCAATTATACTAAAATATTCAGTATAAAAATATATTTATTGAGTATCTATTTTGTGCCAGGCACTATGGATATAATAGGGAAGAAAACAAATAAGGCTCATCCACTAATAAAGGTGACAGTCCAGTACAGGATAAGAGATAATAAGCAAGCCAGGAATTAAAACATGCTTCAGGAATATATCAGATGTCTCTTTCCTATTTACCCTTTAAAATTTTTCCATCACTTAGAAGATACTCTGCCTCCTCCCTTCCTCTCTAGTCTCATTTTTTCATTATCCCACATGTCCACCCCAGTTATAGTGAACTAACTGGTTTTCCCCCAAAGAAAGCCAGGCTACTGCACATGTCCTCTCCCCAGTAAATACTACTGTATCTTTCAAGTCCCTCTTCAAAACTTTCTTCCTTCATTTTACTTTACCTTCTCAATGTTAATCTTGATTTTACTAGCCACTAAGTCTGTTCCAAAGCATTTTATAAATATATCTACTGCAGCATTTCAATTCTCCCTGAAAGGATTGCAGAGGTCTTTAACACTTCTTTCACTGATGTAAGAACACATCGAGAAAGATGCAGTGGGATTACTCTTGTAAATGCCAGACTGCAGAATATTAATGGACAAACAGCTCCCATCTCCTAAAATCTATTGTTCTTTCTCCTAAGCCCTCCTTTATCAAGATATATTACTTGCTTTACTTTTAAGTTTATTAAATTGCTTTATTCATAGGATTATTAATTTTTCCAACATTTTTTTCATTATAAAAAGTGTACAATGAGTAATATTCTGTATATGCATTTTTATGTTTTCTCTTTCCACATTTTTATTGGTACATTACAGCTGTACATAATGATGTGATTTCTTATAGTATGTTCATATATATACACAATCTAACAATATAATTTGGCCAATATCACTCCCTAGCATTTCTCCCCACTCCCTTCCTCTACACATGGTCCCTTTACTCTACTGATCTCCCTTGGATTTTCAAGAGACACCCCCATCAACACCACCTTTCTTTTCCTTTTCCTCTCTAGCTTCCACATATGAGAGAAAACATACAATCCTTGGCCTTCTGAGTTTGGCTTACTTTACTTGACATAATGGTCTCCAGTTCCATCCACTTTCCTACAAATGACATAATTTCATTTTTCTTTATGGCTGATGACTAAAACCCCTTGATGTCTATATACCACATTTTTCTTTATCCATTGATGAACAACCAGGCTATTGTTAATTGTGCTGCTATAAACATGGGTATACAACTTTAATTCTTTTTTTTTTTCAGTACAGACACATGTTTTTCAAATAGTTTCAATTTATGATTAATTGAATCCATAGATGCAGTACAGATGGATACAAAGGGCTGATTGTACTTTTTTTGCACCTAAACTGACATTATTTTTATGTACAGTTCATTAGCTCAAGTGGCTGGAGAACCATACCATAAAATTAGGCCTTTATATAAGCAAATTAATTAGTCTATATTCTGTGGGCAGAAAATTACCTACATGTAGACACAGTGTACTATCTAGCATTTGTATGACTTCTTCAGGATAAGTTCTGAGGAGTAGTATACCTGGTCATACCGCGGTTCCATGCCTAGTCTTTTTTTTTCCTTTGGTGCTGGGGACTAAGCCCAGGGGTTTTGTATATGCGAGGCAAGCATTTTACCAACTGAGCTATATCCCAAACTCTCATGCCTAGTCTTCTGAGGAAACTCCAGAGTGATTTCCATAATGGTTGTTCTAATTTATAATCCCACAAAGATATAAAATTGTTCCTTTTTCTCACATCCTCTCCAACACTTACAAAATCTCAGTGTAGTTTTGATTTGCATTTCTATAATTGCTAATGATATTCAACATTTTTTCATATATTTGTTGTCATTTATATTTCTTTTGAAAATGTCATTTGGTTTATTTGTCCATTTATTAATAGGGTTATTTGATTTTTTGGCATTTGAGTCCTTCATAATTTCTAGATATTAATCCTCTGTTAAAAAGAGTAGCTGGCAAAAACTTTCTCCCAGTTTGTTCACATTCCTAGTTGTTTCCTTTGCTGTGAAGATTTTTAATTTGATGCTATCCCATTTATTAACTCTTGGTATTATTTCCTGAGATTTAGAAAATAGTTTGTGCCTTTTATAAAACAGAGTCCTACTGAGACAGTTGTTGCCTGTGCCTGTGTGCTGGACTGTTGACCCAAGTTTACTTCTAGGAGTTACATAGTTTCTAGTCAAATTTCTAAGTCTTTGATCCATTTTGAGTTGACTTTTGTGCAGGGTGAGAGAAAAGGGTGGTCTAGTCTCATTCTTCTACACATGGATTACCAGTTTTCCCAGCACCATTCATTGAAAAGGGTCCAATGTATGTTTTTGGCATCTTTATCAAGGATAAGATGACTGTAGATGTGTGGTTTTCGTCTCTATATCTTCTATTCTGTGCCACTGGTTTATGTGCGTGTTTTTATGCCAGTACCATGCACTTTTTGTCACTATAGCTCTATAGTATAATTTGAAGTCTGATATTATGATGCCTCCAGCATTGCTTTTTTGACTTAGAATTGCTTTGGCTATTCTGGGAGTCTATTCTTCCAAATTAATTTTACGACTGTGTTTTCTAGAACTGTGAAGAATGCATTGGTATTTTGATGGGGATTGCATTGAATCTGTATATTGCTTTTTGTAGTATGGCCATTTTGACAATATTAATTCTGCCTATTCACAAGTGTGGGACATCTCTCCATGTTCTTATGTCTTCTTCAATTTCTTTCTTTAATGTTCTGTAGTTTTCATTGTAGAGAGGTCTTTCACCTTGTCAGATTTATTCCTAGGTTTTTTTTTTTTTTGGCTATTATGAATGGAACAGTGTTCCTGATTTCTTTCTCAGCAAATTCACTGACTTCACTTTAAAGGATCTTTCAAGAAATAACCCAGATTATTATTAAAATCCTTTTCTTCCAAAATCCTCATCTTCACTGAATGAAATACTCATTAAGGATAATTATTAGGTGATTCCTGACCTTCCAAATAAATGTATAATAGAAATGAATATCCAACCGACAAACTGATCAGGAGGAAGTAATAGCCAACATTTAGTAATGAGTACCTTGGAGAATTACCTGTGAGGGCTGTGGTCTTGGAGGCACTGCAGGAGGTTGGGCAACAACTCCAGCCTGTTGTTGTCCTGTGTGAATATGCAAGTCTTCTTTTTAGCAAATATATAGTCACTTTGCTAATAGAAAAAACAGGCTGAATCAATGTGACCACATGATAACATTTCTAAGAATGCTTGATAATTATAGGACGGTGAATACTATCTTGTACAATAGTCTATGTCACCCATTGGCCAAATCTCTTGACTTTTCCTCAGACCTTATTTCTCTTGGGAACTGCATTACATGAGAGACTCCTGATAAGCTCCTGTTTCCATACTAGAATATATTCTCATCTTTTCCTGCTATATTTCTGACTGCTTGTTAGCTATCAGATACAAAAACTTCCAATTTTTCTTTTTAACACTTCACTCTACCATTTCTATGCAAATAATTCTAAACATTACATGGATCTTTCTTTGCTTGAAGATCCAGTGACCTGTTGATTATTTAGATTTTTCCTAACCATTTCAAACTCATAATGACTAAAACATGACCTCAATACCCTTTGCCCATCATTTCTATTTCAATCAATGTAATAGTAATACTGTCAGTTGAAATTTTACCAAATTATGACTGTTCTTGTCCTTTCATTAGCCAAGTGAAGGCCTATTACTCTCTCACCCCTGATATCACTACATCTTCTTTTCAAATTTCCTAAGTTATACCTTAGGTTTCTATATGTATTATTTCCATTCAAACACACAAAAAGAGAGTTACTAAGAAAAAACATCCCCTTTATTTGATGTATCTTTATATCCAGATTTTTTCTTCATAAAAATACAATTAATAAGACATTAACAAGAATGGAAATAAAATGTTGTATGTCTTGGATTAACTTTAAAATTAAATGATAATAAATATTGTGCTTCTTTGGCCCCTACCTGTGGTGACTGTAAAGGTCCGATTCATATCTAAGGATGATGATCTAGAATGAGAGGGCTGTGGCCTTGGAGGGGGAGGTGGTGGTGCAGTGTTATCAGGAGAAGTTCCTGAATGAGACCTGCAAAATTCACCCCATAACAATTGGTCATGCTATTCATATTGGAAAATTTTTTAAGCATTCAAACTTGGCTAAGCAGCAAATGACCTTACTAGCATGACATTTTCTCAAGCAGTACCTATTTAAACATAACCATCAGTAAGGATAGCACTATTATGTGTCCTAAACAAGTGGGTTTTTTTAATGTTGTAAAGTAAAACAATAAACAGTATTTTAAAAATTTGGAGAAGTTAGTTGTCAACATGATTTCAAGCTAAACTTGCAAACCATAGGCTGCTTTTCCCATTCAACTAAAGGTAATAATTAAAAAAATTAAAATTTTAATTTTAAAAAAAGAGAAACTCTACTATCAAACTTGTTTTATCTTCCAAACTTATTAAAAACCGGAGTCTGGTAAGCTGAGGTCAAACCTGGGTAAACTATCTGAGGTGCCCATTCTGTTTCACCAAAGACCATCTTACTTAAGAGCTCAACTTGCCCTAGAGATTTACTTCTTTGCTACTGAAGTCTTTGCTACTTTCAGTCTTCTTCTGAAAAGGGTCCCCATGTATACTGGCAATCTGGTCTTCATATATAGGGATAAAAAGAATAAAACCAAGACGACTGAGAACTCTTAAGAAACACAGGAAGAACTATCTGAAAAATTGGAAAGGAAGCAAGCAGCCTTAATTTATGGGGAGAGAAATATGCTTCTGTTCTGAACAGCTTTTAGTGAATGGCAAAGTCCTCACAGACAAATCTCTTGCCATCTCCAACCCTATCCCACACAAATTGTTTGTGCCTAAGCTTTAATGTAACACAGAAGTTTAGGGTCAGGGGCCTGCACTGCTGGGCTGGGTTGGATGCCGTTTTAAAACACAGAATTCTTTTGGTACTTGCCATAACCTATTCATTTATTACTTTAGACTCTCACTGTTCTGTTTCACTACAAAAAGGACTATATTAAGCTTCTATTGTGAAGAAGTTATCAGCTTTTAGAACTTCCACAAAATACATAAGGAAAAAAACAAAAATAGAATTTCACTGATTTTCTAATAAAGTTGGAAAGAATGAAAATTACTTGTCTTTTACATATTACCAAAAAGTAACCTAACAACTTTCAGAGAACAAAATAATGTGTATGTGGTTCCAAATGATTTTAAGTATTAAACTGCATCAAAATAAAAAAAATGCATTAAGATATTTTAACACTTTTAATTGGCAGAAATACTGACCTTTGACGAGTTACATTGCTCCCGATCTGTTCTGGGTCAGAAGTAAAAGAGTCTGAACTACTGTAACCATCTGCTGATAAATGGGATATGTCCTATTTAATAATAATCATTTCTTTACTTTTTTGCTCTATCTAACCCACACAAATATAAGTGAGAGACTGTTTCAAATCAAAAATATTCAAAGACTGCTAATAGGTAACCGTTCATCCTAATGTTACTAACTGTAAAAAATTAAGATTCAATCAAATAAATCATGCATATGTATACAGCAAATCATTATCTAGAAACTTAATACTTAATGATACAGAATTATTCAAAATAAGTCACAAAATGTTATATATGTTACAATTCCATATTATATAAAAACAGAACTACAGATTGAGTATACCTTATTTGAAATGCTTGAGGCGATAAAAATTTGGTTTCCAATTTTTTGGATTCTGAAATATTTACATGTATATAATGAGATGTTTTAGGGATATTTAAAGACAAGATCTGTTTCATATACACCTTATACATACAGCCTATAGGTAATTATTTATATTTTTTTAGTGTTCCTGTGCTTTGACTGTAAACTATCACATGAGTGTCAAATTTTATACTTGTGGTTGTCATGCTGGCAATCAAAAAGCTTGAGATTCTGAAACATTTCAGATTTTTGATTTTCAGATTAGGATTGCTCAACCTATATTATACACACACAGAATGAGAACTAAAGTTGATGATGACTTTGTTAACCATGGTCATTTGTAAAATAGTGAGAGTATGAATAGTTATTTTGTTATTTATCTATTAAATTTTTTAATATATTACATTTTTGCAGTTAAATGTGAACTGCTTTGTAATGTAAAAAAGCCACCTTTGAAGAATAAATTTTAAAATATTTAAAATAAAGAAAATGAATTTTAAAATTGTTAAAGTGAAAAATAAAACAATCTGAAGTAACATATGCTGGCAATAATAAATTTTTTAAGCTAGGGGTCCTTGATTTTTCTATTTCCTCAAAGACTTAGAAAGCAGCAGGGAGGGCTGGGTTTGTTGCTCAGTGATAGAGCACTTGCCTAGCATGTGTGAGGCACTGGGTTCGATTCTCAGCACCACATAAATAAATAAAATAAAGGTTCAACAACAACTGAAAAAAAATTAAAATAGAAACTCAAGGTATAATCTGAAGGAAAACTATATACACTTTTAAGGATACTGGTTATTTGGTTTAATTTCATTTCAAAACTTATCCTTTTACTTTTTCTTGCCATATAATGGAATTACTTAATTGGTAAAAGAATGATGCTAAAATGAACATATTTCCACCTAGATGTCCTAACATATATGTCAAATTTTAGATGTATAAGACTGAAGTCTTAAGTCTTTCCCCACAAACCTATTGTCATGACAGCCTTCCTCATCTCCCAGCTACAGATAAAAAGCCCAAGAATTACCCCTGCCTCTTCCCTCCAATCTTATACCACAGAGGTAAGCAAACTCTGTTTCTAAGAAATGTTCAAAATTCAGCCCCAAATCTGACTACTTCTTAGTATATCCACTGCTACCACTCTAGTCCGAGCCACTCTCTTCTCCTGCCTGAATTATTATAATTCTCTCCTGAACTGTCTCTCTTGCCTTCTTTTGGTCTATTACTATTAGAACTGCCAGAGTGATCTCGTTTTTTTGTTTTGTTTTTTTTAAAGGAAGTTCAGTTTATTTCACTTCTCTATTCAGAATCTTCTAATTGCTTTTCCATTCAGTAAAGGTCAAAGTCTTGTACTGCTCCTTGCTACTATTCTACCACTTACTACTCTGACTTGCCAAGTCTTTTATTACACATCTGTTTGCAGTCCCAACAGAAACAAGTTTCCTTTCTTAAGGTTTCACTAATTCCTGTGCCTTAATTCATCCTTCTTTTAGGATTCAAACAGCTGAATCACTCTACTCCTTCAAGTTTTGACTCAAATGCTATCTTTTGGTAAGGCCTTTTTTGAACACTTTATTTAAAATGGCATTCCTTCTTCCCTTTCCAGTCTTATTTTTATACATGGTATTAATTACCTTTTAATTTAAGAGCTGCCCTCCCTCTTATTATCTTATCTCTCTTACAGAATATAAACTCTATGTGGGCAAAGATTTTTTTTCTTTTTTGTTTACTGCTAAATTCCCAGTACCTTGAACAGAACTCGGCACTTAGTATCTGATTAACACTGGCTGAATGAATAAACATATCCACAATGTTTTGTGAGACAGAAAGAAAAAATGTTGATAGAAAAGAGCCAATGGACCAAGCTGGGAGGGAGCAGCCTTCCCTCAAGCAGGTGGAAATGAAGAGTGGCCATTTGTTCATAGACAGGGTAGGATGATTAAAAGAGTTGACTATCTTCTACTTTACTCAGTGAAGACAGCACTAAATGGCTACACATTTGAAGCACTCAGACTTTTAAATCCATCCACATTTAATATACTTCAAATAGAAAGTGTGAAGCAAATGTTTCACTTACTTACCTACAGTATTTCCAGAAGCAAATTTCACAGATGAATTTATCTTATTTTCTTCTGAAAGGTCAGATGGTTTCACAAGTAAGGGGCTGGTCGGATTAGTATGATCTAGTGGAGAATTAATAGGTAAAAATACAAATACTAGTATTTGAATTGATAAATTCATAAAGTTCAGAATATAAAACTTCATTTAGATATTCCAAAAAAGTGGCAAATAAATCCATGAGATATTAGACAAAATAATATTTTTTAATAAAAATAAATGTAAACCTGTTTATATGGAATTTCATCATCGGCCATATTAAGATACTTGATTAATGATACTGATTCACACAAGAAAAAAATATCTACCTTTCAGAAACTTTAACCAAAATATTTAGTCTAAACTGATGGGAAATTCCAGAAATTCAAGTAAAACAGACAACTTACAAAATTTATACAAAGGCCAAAATCTACTTTTACATATCTTTTTTAGTTAAAAACTGAACACACTTTAAATAATTCATGATGGTGACCACATAAACCCAGGGTTATTGGAAAAGTCACATTTCCACATGCTCTTATTCTAAAACCTTATACTTTAAGATCAGTAATTTGCTTTAGAAAACTGCAACATAGGCCAGTGCAGTGGTACATGCCTATAATCCCAGCAGCTTGAAGCTGAGGCAAGAGAATCAGAAGTTCAAAGCCAGTTGCAGCAACTTTAGCAAGATCCTGTCTCAAAATAGAAAATTTAAAAAGGGGGCAGGGGGAATAGGGATGTGGCTCAGTGGTTAGATTCAATCCCTAGTACCATAATCAAAACAAAAAACTGCAATATAAGCAAACACACGTGTCTACAAACACAATAGTTAGAAAGCACTAGATTTGAAAAATAAGCAATTAAAACACAATCTAGTAACATCTTCCTTACCACTGCCAGTTCTTTTAAGTTCCATTTCCTGCATGTGGATTTTGCTTGGAGTCATACGAATGGGAACTGGATGAACAATAGCAGTATCCTAAAGATAATGGGAGTAAATATAAATTTTGTATTTAAAATGTCAAGTTAATACCATTAAATAACCAAAACTAACAACAATGCAAAAACTAGAAGATAGATTTTCTCATTTACACTAAGGTAAAGATGAGAATGAGTTTTCATAATCAAAAGCGTAGTTGATTTTATCAAGTCAAATTAGTTGATTTTATCAAGTCAAATAATCTGATTTCTTTTATAAAAAGTACATCTTAAATTGAGTGATTAAACATTTACATGAATAAATTCTCTTATAAAAACACAGTTCATGACAATATTCAAAAGCAATTTAAAATGGTCTGATAAAATTATACAACTGTTAAATCCTGAGGTTAAAGTAAACTATCTCATGTAAACCCAGACTAAAAACTCATTTTCGTAGACTATTTAAGAAAATTTGATGATTTTTTTCACCTATAGAACAAAGATAATGAGCTGTCAATTTAATTGGGATAGTGGGCACAATACAACCTTTCTATGGAATTGTTCAAAAAAAAACAGAGTGCCTCAAATTTTAGCTCAGACTTCCACAAAGGAACTCATTATTTCAGAAAACAAGTAAGACTCCCTGTCTAACTTGTTAATACTTTTCTTCTACCATTTCCACGATGGCAATATATCTAACTTGGTGAATGGTGATTTTAGAGGCATAAAGAAGCTATTTGTATAAACTTTTGTAAATAATGAAAGAGCAAAGGTAAGGAAGAAGAGGACGAAGACTAATGGAGACATCTCAGAAAGGGTGGGAGAAGAGTGAGGTGCCCTGGGACATGGAGAAGCCTCATCCTGACCCCTAGTAGAGGAATCAGAACCAGGTCAAGCATCTGAATTCACAGCAACAGACCAGCTGAAAAACATGGCCAAGGGAGCTTGGCTCCTCCTATGAGGAATCAGTTCATACTCTGTACGTGCTGCAGTTAAAAACAAATTTGAGACCCTTCAATTTCAAATATCTATTAATGAGTTAAGTTTATAATTTAGTGTAGAGGATGCTGAATTTTAGTTTATACTGGACACTGTTTTGGTGATAATACTGCGTTAACACCAAGCCCATGAGAGGGAAAGTTATGTTCCTGCATATGGTCTCTTACTGGACCAGCCTCCTTGGCTTACTCTCATCACCTTAAAATTCAATTTATAACAAATTCTTTAGAGCTACTATCTTGATAAAGTCATTCAAAGTAATTTCCTGCTCCTATACTTAAGAGAATTTTAAATAGGGTTAATATTTATCCAAGAAGCCTAATATTTCCCCTATACATCCTAAAATTGTAGTTATAAAGACCAACATTACAGATGGATCAAAGTTTAGATTTCTCATGAGTGACTCTCAAAATATACTAACACACTTAAGATACTGTTTAAGTTATAGTTGCAATACAAAAAACATGGCTTTAGGGGTTGGGAGTAGAGTGCTCACCTTGCATGCACAAGGCCCTGGGTTCAATCCCCAACACCACAAAAATAAATACACACACACCATGGTTTTATACATGACTATTTTCTTACTTCATAATTTCTTATAATGCCAGAGTTTCAATCTTTGTTAATCTGTAGATGTGAGTTGTTTCTCTTTGTAGTTATATATTTAAAAAAATATATATTTTCTAGTTGTCAATGGATCTTTATCTTATTTATTTATATGTGGTGCTGAGAATTGAATCCAGTGCCTCAACATGCTAGGCAAGTGCTCTACCACAGAGCCACTCCCACACGTGCTAGGCAAGTACTCTACCACTGAGCCACTGCCCCACTCCTAGTTATACACTTTTTTTTAGCTGATGGTTATGAATGTCTTTTTCTATATTTCTTTCTTGCAATCTGCACGTCTTTTACACACTTCTGTATTCATTTTTTTCTGATGCACAGAAGCTTCAAAACATTCTGCATTCGTTTTTTCAGTGTGTGATAAATATATTCTTGTTACTGAGTTTCCTTTATTATATTTTTGATATAATATAATTTCAATTTGGCCTAATTAACTGCTTTTTTTTTTCTTTTTGGTATCGGGGATTGGATCCAGAGGCACTTTGATACTGAGCCACATTTCCAGCCCTAATTAACTGTTTTTTTAAAAACAGTTTGTGCAAGTGGTACCTTTAATTTTTTTTCTTTTCTCTCAAAGTCTTAAAAGATACATGACTTCTTTTCAATGTTTTATAATCTTGCCTTTACATTTACTATTGTATCAGAAGGGAAAGGTTTTTGTTTTAAACGTGATACCAGGAAAGCAGCTAAGTTCAGTTTTGTTTATTCCTCTCAAAATGTTCTTAAAAAAAATCTGTAGCCTAAAGTCTTGTGCACTGTATTTTTCACTATATCCATAGATAAATTTGTATCATTCTAATCACTTACAAATTATAGATTATTTGACTGATTAATATATAAATTGCTAAAATAGGTAAACCTGACTCTGAAAGTGATTTTCTACTTTTCTTTTAGTTAATTTTTGCTTTATGTATTTTTAATTTATCAGGTACAACATTAACTACATTGTAGTTCTCAGGTAAACACATTTTGTCATTTAATTGTACATACTAGGCAAAATATAGCTCTGTATATTTACAATTTTAATTGCATAAATAAGTGTTATAAGAATCAGAATTCACCATTCTAAGACAAAATCAAGGAAAAAGAAATGATAGCACATGTGAAAATAATTTCTGATTCCAAACCCAAACAAATCAGGGGGAAAAAAATGTCAAATTTAGATGCTTCAAATTTGTATCATTTATCTAATATATATTCTATGTATATAAAATCAGATTTATAAAATTTAAAATAGTTGGAAATATTAACTAGTATTTGTATCCATTTGTGGTATAAAAAAGGGAGGTCAAGAAAATCTGCAATGTTCTGTAACTTCATTCAGGTCTTCTGTACCAACAAATCAATATTCTGTAGCACACTGTATTCATACAACTACTGGTTGCTGTGGTTCTACAATGGCTTTAGTCCAGTAGATCTACTGACAGCAGAACATGGTAGTGCTTTGATGAACTTGACACACATGACCACGTCTAACCTCAGATTAAGATATCAGAAGTTGCATTTACGACTGTAATGTGCAGCAAGACAGGGAGCTTTCACTTTAAGCATTTTAGCATCCACATGAAGAACCAAAATGTATACAAATCTCTTAGTCCTAAGACACATGTGCCATAAGATGCCAAAGTAACACTTTTTCGGCTCCAACCTACTGTTTCTAGGGGAAGAAACAAAATTGGCTGGCCAACATCTTCTTATCTAGTCAGATTACCCAAATCCTTCAGGTAATCCATTTCTAAACATTCATGGCACATCTGTGTTATGTATTTGGTGTGATTTTACATAATGCAGTACTTTATTGAATTATATATATTACATATGTATCTCATAGATCTAATTTTTCTACATGCCTTAAATGCTATTATTCTTATCTGTCTGAATCCAGTCCTGCCTACTTTTCATTCCCATGTCAGGGAATTAGGTATTAGACCTCTTGATCCCTCTTGCTTCAGTTAATTCACATTGTTGCCTAAGTTATCTTCCCCTTACTGTCCTTGCCCATCTCATTCGGGTACTCTGTGATATCTCCTGGTGCTATTACCCTGTAAGGTGAAATTCAGCTACTTACTCTAGCTTATGAAGATTTTCTCAATCTACTTTCAACTACATTTCTCAGCTCCCACTGTTCCTCCATAGGTATGTGCACCCTATACTATGACAACAATGAACTGATCCTGCTCATGAAACTCTCCCTGCCTGGACTACCCTTGTCCATTTTGCCAATGTCTATTTTCAGTGAAGACTAAGCATACTACTATAACCTCTTGTGAAATCCTTCCCACATAGCCAACCCTTTCTCTGCCTACTGGTTTATTCAGCTGAAAATGAGATAATTAGAATCTTAATTTCATCGGAACTCTGAAAGCCTAATAACTAACCATCCCAGTGTACATATGAGGTCACTGTGCTATGTAAGATTTTTTATTTTATTGAGAAAAGGGTTAATTACCCAAGATTTAGTTCCTTTTTAATATTTCATTATATATTTTCAACACTGAAGGGCTGGGCTGTAGCTCAGTGGTAGAGTGCTCGTCTGGCATGAGTAATAACTTGAGTTCAATCCCCTAACTAACTAAATACATCCCTGAAAGGTAAGTTAAATTCACATAAAAACTTTATAGTTTTATTGTTTTTATCTTCTCTCTTCTAATCTGAAAGGGTCTCATTTATTTACTTAAAATCCTTATTTATATAAGCCTTGCAAAGGATTATCTGGGATTGTGGCTCCAGGCTATGCTCTATAAATAGTCAATATTTCAGTTCGTATTAAATGAAGGTTAAGAAACTCAGATTCTAAAGCACACAATTAGGAGAAAGGAAGGTATTCTCCCAACTGAAAAATTAAAGATTACAGGTTAGAGAACAAAGTTCAGGTTTAAGCTTAACGACATAAATGAAAAAAGATTTTCTAGATGTCAAGAGTATAAATACTTAAGAATGTCAACTTAATTTTTCCCCATTTTTTCATTTGTTCTTTTTACATATACATGGCAGTAGAGTGCATTTTGACATATTATACATACATGGAGTATATTTTCCCATTCTGTGATTGTACATGATATAGTCATGTATTCACATATGAACATAGGGAAAGCCTTGTCTGCTAAGAATGCCAATTAAAATGATCAAATTCAGAAGTCTAACTTCAAGTTTAAAATGTCAAGCATTCTTTATTTTCCTACAGTCTCTTGTCTACCACACTAGAAATAACAAAGTATACTTTTAAACACTCATAAATTAGGATATTATTTCCAAGTAAGAACATCACTTGTAATAAGCTCAACGTTCCTCTATATTTCCTGGCAGTCATGAGTCAATTTATTTTGACTCTGAGCTCTAGATTTTTACATATAATGTTCTTACTTTGTCTCACAAAGAGTTATAATACTACATGTGATTATTTTCACTGTCTTGTAAGGGTTAAGAGATTAAGATGATTTTTTTTCTATAAAATACCTTCATTAAATAAACAAAATTAACTGGACTATATACTTAAAAAATTAGCAGGTAGAAATAAAATAGGGAACTCTTTAAAGCTTAAAACTTGTCACTTCCCAAAAGATCTTAATTATGGCTGCTAATAAGCAGCAAAAATTTCAACTGTTGGCTTTATTTCTCTTGCACTTTTCAAATAAAAGTAAAAAATAAATGCCTTAAATATACTAACAGAAGCAAAAGGCACAGAAGATCTACATATAAATTGGTCCCTGAATATTTTAATAGACTATAAACATTTTTAAAGGCCATATATTATGTTTGAATTAAATGACTGTAATAGCATCCTCTATATTTCAAATACAAATTCTATAAAAAAATTGTTTTAGGTGATAGACCTTTATTTATTTATTTCTGTATATGTGGTGCTAAGAATTGAACCTGATGCTTCACATATGCCAGGCAAGTGCTCTCCCACTGAGCCCACAATACAAATTCTTTAAAATTTTATAAGGCACCCAAACTCCACTGATTGAAACTGAAAATATTTTATCTTTAAAGCCACTTCTCCAAATCCATATTAAATGATGAAGCCATTTTAATACTTAATTATTAATTGCCAGCTGCTAAATCTAAGAATGCCTGTGTCACTTTCTACATAGCTTTCTACTCAGCTCACTTAAGAAAACAAAACCAAAAAACCCTACCTTTATACTCTTCTTCCCTTACTACTTAATTCCTCTTTTCTTTTTGGAAAGTGCTTATTAGCATGGAGAGAGAGAGAGAGAGAGAGAGAGAGAGAGAGAGCGCGCGCGCGCACGCACGCAGACGCATGCAAAGGCAGAGAAATGAACAGAGAGAAAAATAATTTAAAGTTTTGAAGTTTTCAAATAACTTCAAGGACAGGAGGGGCATAGATGAAATTAACTTTATAGAGATAAAATTAATTTTTACATTCAGGATATGAACTTTGTAGCATTTTCAAAAAAATACAGTAAACCACAGGAAGACAAGACAGGTTCCTTTGCACAAGAGGAATTTTTGACAAATAGCTATGTATTGTTTTACTGAACTTGATTCTATCTAACAGAACTTAATATACTAATTAAACAAAAGCCTATCATTTGAAGTGTTTTTAAAAAGATGACACTGCATAAATATTTACATACACAGTACATATTACATGATGCATAAGCATACAAATAATATTTACATAAGTGTCACTACATTGAAATACGTAGTATGTTAAATAAAACATACATTTAATTAGCAAATGACAACATGGTTAACCAAATCAATTATCACAAAATGCTTCTTTAGACACATGTACCAGATTTTAAAAGCATAGTTTTTCTCACCAAAATAACTAGAAAGTACAAGGAATGGAGAAAAAAAATTCTTTCCACCATTAAACACACAAAAATTGAAAAGTCTGCCAACATTTCCCTCTAAGCACTACACTGAATCATGCATATTGGCTAAAAAACCATAATGAATGGAAATTTGGGTTAATAAAATTAATTTCAAACAAGCAAGCTAAGTGATTGACTTACAGGATCAGCTGGTGCAATGTTAGAATCAAATTGGGTCAGAGTTTGTGAGCTTGAAGAGCGTTCACTAAATGTCTCCCACTGCTGAACAGACAGAGGAGAGACAAGTCAGCATGATGAGAAAGATGGAGTAAAAGATCATTGGAGAAGATTTAGCAAAGTAATTCAGAGGTTGCACTGCAAGCTGTGTTTCATAGGTCTAACATTATTATGTAACTTCTATTTTTCCATGAATATCTTATACTTATCTATCTTGGGTCATTTTGAATAAAAGGCAAACAGTTTCACAAGCAGATATCAATTGAATAGTAATAATTTTCTGTAATCTCTACTAAAGAGATTCATAGCCTTACAGAATTAAGATTCAAAACATAATACAGGACCATATTGTGAGTGATATAAATGGCTATCAAGTGAAAATGTAAAGGGGTTTGTCTAGCCTGGAAGAAAGAATAATCCTTCTTTTAAAATTCAAACGTTAATGCATTGACTTGGTAATGGTAACAAAGTTTTGATTAAAACAAAGCAAGTCAGTGTGACTTGCCAGTGCGACCCCTGAAAGATGATTCTATTATGTTCGTGCACATATTTTATACATATGCATAGATATTTAATAAAATATAATTGAGATAAAATGCAAGGAATTCTGGAATTAATATGTTTGCGCTTATGTCAACCTGTAGCAAGTCAACCCCTGCAATCAGCACAAAAAACAGGGCCATGCTAGTTCACAAGATGGAATCGCCAATCAGGCACCCCCCTCCCCATGCTAGAAAAATCAGAATGCAGCCACAATGAGAGCAAATCAAGCATTTGAGTATGTGTTATATATAGAAGATGTATATGAAGTATTACATATCTAAAAGAGGTACACAAAGAAATATCATACCTCTTAAAATAGTGGATAATTCAATATTAATTACAGTAAATTCCATTTGTTGTAGAGATCTTAGTAATATGGTACAGAATTTTTACATTAAAATTGTCAGTTAAATCAGATTCTTAAAATTTATCAGTTATCCTCTGAAGAGGAAAAAACATCTACACATATACAATATATACAAACAAATGTTTACACACAGACACACAACTACCCATTCACCAAAATTCTTTTTATAATTCACTTTGGGAAAGTATAGTTTTATGCTTCAAAGTTCAATTTACTATTTAAAATACTGATATTCAATTTGAGAAGACATGTAGAAGTTAGCAATTGAGTGCACTATTAAAAATTATCTACAAAAATGGGCAATACAATCATTCATCAATTTTTTCTGCAGATTAGTTTTAGCATGAAAAATAAGATAAACAGAAATAGTGATGCACTCAAAGTATTTTAGGTAGAAAAGCCATAATAACTCACTTCTATCAGGAGACATCAGTTCAAGGAAGTGACTTACAATATCTGTTAATACAATTGTTTTCTTCTTCAACAATTATTGTCACCAGGATTCATAAGGAATTTTTAAAACCCTAATTAACTGAAAAAAGTTCAAATACAGAAAACTTTGGCAAAAAGAAGGCATATATACTAACACCCTGTTTGGGTATCATGAGGTTTGTCCTCCTGGTTTTACAAGACTATCTGTAAGCAATTTGGAGGGACGAGATTCTCCTCTTCATGACTTTAGTAAATGGTTAAGAGCACAAGGCTCTGGAACCAGACTATCTGGAATCCTATTTGGGCTTTGCAAACTTGGGCCAGTTATATTCCATAACCTCTCTGTACTTCAGTTTCACCATCTGTAACATGAAATTAATACTACCTACTTCACAGGAGTATTCTGAGGATTTAAGGAGTTAATATAGATAAAGAGCTTTCTGGACAGAACTGGAATATCAAAAGTGTTCAACAAATGTTAGTGATTATCATTAGTGTTATCCCCTGTACTACCAAATCCATATCCACAGGTGCTAAATTAAAGTTAAAAAAATATTAGTGTTTTGGTGGTAGACAATGAAAATAAAATCTAAATTTTATATCCTAAGTAGCTAAATAGGTATCATTTAGAGTAGATATCATTAATACATCTTAAAATCAATGTTTTATTAGCTTTTGATATTTCATATAAAGTGAAAAAAATTACCACTTTTTTGGTATTGTTAGCAAATACTAGAAAATAGAACTTGATAGGAATATTTAAGCAGGCAGTCAGCAACTAGTGGAATCAGAATTGAGAAGGGACTTCCATCCCTCGTCTTTAACGCGTTAATCACATGTGATTTCATTTAAAATGAACACGGGCTTAGGAGTTGGAGTTGAGACTCATAAGAGCTGCTCTTATTTACAAACTGATAAAAGTAGGCTAACAATACTCCTTTTATTCTGATAGTGCCTTTAAAAAATGATAGAAATGTAAATGCAGTGAAAGTAATATTTTTAAGAACACTTATCTACTCTCCATAAACGTTCTACTGGCCAATTTTTCAAGGGCTTAATCCCCTTCTCTACAAAAACATATTAATAGGTTTACATCTGATGGTAGGACATATGGTATAATGTTATAATGCTTAAGACACAGTCTTGTCTGTGGTTGGGTGTTTACAAAGCAGTAAAAATAGTACAAAACTGCCAATTACTTCTGTTACAACTGTCCCAAATTAACTAAGGTACTCTTTAATCTAGTATTTTTCTGGCTTTCAAGAACATGGAAAGCACAGAAGCTTCCTAAAAGTTAACAAACTCTTATTTTTGCAGTACTACCTAAAGAAAAAAAGATAATTTATTCACAAAGAGAAATGCTCTCAGGCTGGAGTCCTCCAGAACCCTAAAGTTCAACAGAGCGTCCTCAGGAGGTGCCTCAGGGGAGGGGGGCCTCAGGCCCTCTTCCTTTATTCTAAGCAAAGTGATCCTTTTATTGTTTTATATGATAGAACTTTGAAGTCACTGGAGAACAATGCATTTGTCCCAAATTCTATTTTACATACTATGCTTGGTCACATTTAGACAAAACACTCCATTTAATATTGAATAAGGTCACAGAAAATATCTTATTCCTGTGGAAGGCATGCCTAGTGACATCACATCACTTCCAATCCCAAGATTCCAATTGTATTATCATGTACCTAAGGACTGAGATGGCATGACTCACTAGACAAGGCAGCTAACTAGTATCAAAGGACTTATATTAAAATCTTAGCTCTTAAATCTCCTGGAAATGAGATCTTGGCCAAGTCATTCACTTTGACTTTTAACTTCATTCATCTGCCCCAACTAACTCACAATATTTTAGTGGGGATAAACAATGGAAACCAAATGACAGTGCATGTACATTAAAAACTTCAAAAGTTACATCATTACAAACATTTATTTATCAGTTATATTAACTATGCATGCATGCTCAAAGAGCTTTATACTGACATTAACCTGTTTGAAATTTCTTACCTTAAAAATGCTAATTTTTAATTGAAAAAAAAGAAAAGAAAGCTATGCTAACCTCACTGCTTTGATTCAGCTCAGGCCAAGTCTGGTTTAGTGATGGCATTGATGGTGACTTGCTTGGAGGTGCTTCAGTAGGAGAGCCTGGCTGATCTCCAACATCTGTAATTTAAAAACAGAAGAATCCCCTATTAACAATATATTTTAATTTAGAATATTTACTTATAAAAAAGCTAGCAGATGATTTTCCTAAGTAGTAATTTATAAACTGATTTTTCTTATGTTCCCCAAATAAACATTTTAATCATCAGACAAATACTCATTCATACTACTTTGTCTACCTGAAACCACAGTTTAACTTTTTATGAAAATAAAATCTAGTTAGGAATAAGCAGAAGATTGTTATACACGTTTATTTTATACAGTGATAATAAAAGAGGTCAAATGCTCTGACTCAGTTTCTGATATCAGGGATGGATTTTTTTAATCAGCTTCCCAAAGTATATTCCTTGTAATACTAATCACTATGGTGACTTTCAAAAATTAGGTTTTTTTGCTCAAATAAGTTTGTGGGATACTATAATTCCCTGTTGGAGCACTTCCATGTATATCAACACTACTTATGTCCAATAGTAAATAAACTTAACATTTGTAAGTTAGTTTTTCTCAAACACAAATGCTTTTCATCACATAAAATGCTTCAATATTCTCTTGAAATATACTTTGGGAACTGCTGATTCATACTCATTAATCACATTTCCTCAGCAAATCTTTCTTGATACCAAAAAAACGGAAATAAAAGGAATTTCCAGTCATTAAAAAAAAAAGTAAAAATCCATAAGCCCATATGAAACTTAAACCTTTCTTTTAGTCCTGTGGATTGAACCCAGACCTTGCACATGCCCTCTACCACTAAGCTATACCCCCAGCCCTTAAAACTTTTGTCATTACACTCACTGCTATTTATCAATAGCTACAAATCCATGACACTAATTCGATATGATTTTTAATGTAAGTCAAAGTACCATACTATAATTTTAATTCTATTTAAGCCCTAATTTAAAATCTCTCTAAATCTACACTTAAAAATATAATTTCAAAGGTAACTAAATTCCCTAATTTTCAAGGTTTACACAGCTTTGAATATAATCCCAATCAACAGGGAGTATGTAATTTGTTTAGACCACATATCATTCACAATTCCAATATCTGTCTCTTTCTATTTGACCATGGGCAAGTTAAATAAAATAATATCCAAGTTTTTCCACCAGAAAGAAAGACACTTGGTATTAAGTGTTAGCTCTATACTTCAGATGTCTAAGCAAACAGCCATATAATAAACCTACTGTTATTTGGCTTTCAATCTTTCAATTTAGTCATAATTTTTTTTACCTTTTAGTACCTAACATAGGATCTAATACAGAATAGCACTCAAGTATTTACTGAGTAAGTTGCTTTTTGTGTTCTTCATTACTGTCATTTTCTTAGAATCACAACTAATAGTTGGGAAAACTCTCAAAATTCTCCTTCTACCTGCTGTGTTTCATGACTCTCTCAAAATATTTCCCTTTTATGTACCCTGTAATTATACCTTTTATCATTATACCACATTGCAAGTTCTAGTTTACAATCTAGCATTACATTTTGGCCATAGAAAATGAAGAAAGGTCTTTACGAGAGATCCCTGCCCCCCACTAAAGCACTTAAGTATTAAAGAAAAATAAATAGAATTAAATAGTATTAACTCTAGGGGGATTAATTTCCAAAAGAATCAATTTAAAGCCAGACTCTATTCTTTTCTCTTCAACATCATCTTAGGACCTTCTGAGGCTCTGGTTTGGCTTTCAGATCTCAGTTCTCATGATGTTGTTGTTTTACAAATTCAGGGACAGACTATACCACATCCTCACCTCAAGGCAGTTATAATTTGGGAAGAGATCCAGATAATCTCTATCAATGGTACAAAAGCTACAATGGGTCTAGCCTCTTAAGGCTAAGAAATAAAATACTACTCACCCAAGTAATTATACTTTATTATCATTTCAATGATTATTTTCTTACAATCTCAGTTCTCAAAAAATGAATCACTGACTTCTTTTGGGAATCTTTACAATTCTTTTTTTTTGGGGGGGGGTCCTAAAAAGTCAAAATTATTCTTGTAATAATATTAGTAATTTTTCTTCCTGTATTGATATTGACACTGATTCTGAAAAGCAACAGTGGTTAAAAGCACTACTGGTTCATCAAGAAGAATCACAGCAGTGATGACAAAATGTATTATTCACCCTCACATATATAAATTCAAAATTTTTACTATAATACAAAAAAATGCATGTTGCTCTCACTGAAGAATTTCATAATGAAGTAAATAATATTTAATTTTGATAAATTTTAGCACTAAAAACACACCTTTATAATACTCTGTGACAAAATGGGAAATATATATAAAGCACTTCTGTTGCATATCAGGGTACAATGGTTGTCTCAAAGAAAAATGTCTATGTGATTCAGCTGTAAGCCGAACTGACCACTTTTCATAGAATACCATTTATCTTGAGGGAACAGTTTATAAACTATAAGTATTTGGATTTGAGTATTAGGCAGACATTTTCTCAAATGAATACAGTGAACAACTATTTTCAGTATTTGTTACTAATGACAAATTTTAAGCTTTTAGGAAAAACTTATAATTTTGAAAAATGTGTATATATATCCATAACCTTAAGTGTTTCCTAGCACATAAAGACTTCTCTGATGAGACAGGTTACAAAATTTACAAATATGCTTTTTTGCCGGTTATGGTCGTGCCTACCTATAATCCCAGATATCTGGGAGTCTGAGGCAGGAGGATTTCAAGTTAGACACAGCCTCAGCAACTTAAGAGAGAACTTGTCTCAAAAAGGGTTAGGGAAGTAGCTCAGTGGTGGAGTACTCCATATTCCCTGGTACTGCCAAAAAAAAGTAAAATATTTTTGATATTTTATAATGAAACATCTCAATATGTAAAAGATCTGTATAACTCAATAAACTCTTATTTTTATAAATAACCACTATATTATGATAAAAATCATTCATGGATAAAGGGTTCATTCAAAGTACAAGGCATATCAATGAATTTTAACGTTTAACATTACAAAAAATTCATTAATATGGTTTCAGCTTTCACACTGCAAATAACTTTTAAGAAATTACAATTTGTGTGTGTATATTTTTGGTGGTGGTACTGGAGATCGAACCTGGGGTCTTGCACATGCTAAGTAAGTGCTCTACCAACTGAACTACACCCCCAGTCCACCATTTGTGTTTGATGTAGTACCTAAGAATAGTCAACAATATCTGAAAGCAGTATATAATAGTATTTCCTTTTTCTATGCAAAGCTAGATTTTCTTTATGTATTTTAGGAATTAGCAACTTTTCTTTTTTAAGCAAAGGTCTAGATAATAAATTTTTTAGATTTTATAGGCTATATAGCCTCTACTACAACTATTCAACTCTGCCACTATAGTACACAGACAGCCACAGACAATTTGTAATTGAATGAGTGTGGCTGTATTAATATTTTATTTATGGTCACTAAAATACGAGTTTCACATAATTTTCATGTATGATGACATATTATCCTTTTGTTTTTTTCAATGATTAAAAAAACCCACTCAATTTGTGCAGTATACAAAAACAAGCAATAAATTGGATTTGAGCTGCAAGGCTTGGTGTTTGGAGCCCAGATTTACCTCAAACAAAATAAGATATCCAAAAGACTAAACACAGAAATAAATATGACAATCTAGTTGACTTATATTAGATAGGTATTAAAAAAATACAAAACAATGTCATTTTTTTCATAATTGTTGTATTTTGGAGAATACAGTTATTTTCCTAAAGATATTTATGCTAATATGTACAGGGTGTGTTACTGTTGTTTTTAAGTAATAAGTATTTTTTAAATGTTGGGGTTGGAGAGATAGGAAAAAATTAAAATATATCAGTTTTAATTTCTAACAGGATGACTATTGATAGATCTTACATGAACAAAGACTCCTGAGGCACAATTTGTAAGAAGGAAAAAGGGTCCCTAGATTAATAACTTGAAAAAAATTCCTGTCCTAGCAAATCCAAAAAGTACTTCTGGGACAAATTTGCAAAATTATACATTGTTTCTTTCCTACTTCATATATAAAACAACAAACAGCAGTAGGCAAAGAGCAAAATGAGCAAACTACCTATATTCTAGAAACCAACAATCATGAATCTGGGGAGAAGCATTAGATATGGATGCACCTCCTTCAATTTTGCTCCCTGTAAACACTCGAGCAAAGAGCTTACTGCCCCGACAAAAGTCAGGCTTCAAGACTATCTTTCCGCAGGCAGGCGTGTAGTTTTACTCTTACCTGATGCAGTGTTCCAACCTAGCCTCCTGCTGGAACACTGTGTCAACCCTGCCTTCCTCCTGAGGGTTCTGCTCTGCCCTGACACCATCAGAGCATCAGGGCTGAAAAAGAAGGCATGAGCCTAAATTGTTTGTTAAAGCTAACCCCCAAAGCGCTTTTACGTAAAGAAAGTTTCTCTCCAGGTATAAAACTGGATTGTCAGGAATAGACAAACCAGTATGATCATACTGGGGAATGATATCTGGTTTATTAACACTGGCAGCAGTTTTCATCCTTCTACCTTTCAAAGAATCTGGAAAATTCATAGGTTCAGTCCAATACAATGTACCTGCTGAAAGCTTTTTTACTAGAGAACTTCAGTGTTGTTCTAAGTTTGTAACTATCCATGCTAAATTTATTTTTTATATTATATTTAGTATATTAAAATTTATTTCAAAAGTGACTGCCAGCTCATTAGTCTTATACAAATATATACACTCCCCTGAAGTCTTATGGTTTAAAATTTATTCTGCTTTCAAGCAGCAAACAAATCTAGGAAGTTCTTCAGTCATGAAGGCTCAAGGTTCCAACTTCATTTAAAAGCTTCATGAAGGCAAAACTATATCTACTATTTATTCAAAATGTAAATATTATTCTTATAATAAAAAATTAAAATAAAGAATAAATAGATTTAGCTGAATTTTAAGCTTTTGAGGAAAAGTACTGATAGCAACTCTTCCATTCTTATTTAAAAGGCAGGGATAAAAGCAATGCATATGCAAGAGGAAATTAAA